TCTTCTACGAGACGGTTTTTTTTTTTAATTTAATTTATTTATTTGAGAGAGAGAGAGCACAGAGGACAGGAGCTGAGGGAGAGGGAGAGAGAATCTCAAGCAGACTTCCCGCTGAGCATGGAGCCTGATATGGGGCTCGATCTCATGACCCTGAGATCATGACCTGAGCCGAAGCCAAGAGTCAGACCCTTAACCAACTGAGCCACCCAGGCGCCCCTCTTCTATGAGACAGTTTGTAAAATATTTAAAAATGACAGTCAGGTGAGACCTCCCCTCTTGCCCTTCTCTGCTCACTCAGACTTTTGGTTTTTGGAGCACCACACTCTCAAAGTGCCTGATTCCATGAGCTGACATAGTTTACTGACTCCTCACCCTTTGAGACACTCCTCTCAAAATATTTCACCGTGATACTTTAACTATCAAATGGGCTGTTCATTCATTCGTTTGGCCCACCAAGATTTACTGAAACCCTTGTGAGAGGTGCTGCGTCCTCTGTGGTTCCATCATAATCCACATCATTTGCTGCAAATTCAGTCATAGGTGCTTCACAAGAATTTAAAATAGAATTATTTTTCAGGTGTCAAGGTTCCATGAGGAACAAAATACTTTGTCTGGTGCCCAAATGAAAAATAGATCGATCTGTTCCAACACTGTTTGATTTGCCTAAGTTTATGTAGTATATACAGACCCATGTCAATAGCCCTTTGTGAGTGATTTCAGAGGTTTTAAGGACAGTTTTGATAACTTGTGATTTTTCCCTTATGCATGGATGTAGATCCTCACTCCCAAGGCAAATGCATTTCTATGGTACTACCGTGGAGGAGAAAAGACAGTCTCTGGGTCCATGCTGCCTACCCTCTAGTGGGGGAGACAGATCATAAACAGGGAAGTAAGTAACTATGCAATTACAAATTAAGAAAAGTGCTATAAAAAAGAGGCTAAGATTATCAGCCATTCTCTGCATTTCCCAGGTTATTTTTCAGGTGGTTACTACCTTTGAACCAGAGATGTTCCCAGAGAGGAAAATTTCCTCTGACATTCCCCCTGCCCCATCTCCAAGCCCAGTGCATATATTAGACACTATTAAGGAAACAAATGGTGATCTAATGACCAAGACCCAATTTCCTGTAAGATGCCTTTAACAGGGGGAGTTATTATTAATGGCCCTAGGATGTAAAGGTTTTTTTTAAAGGGTTGGACAGTGGTGGACATACTTTCATTTCACGTAAGTAATGATAATAATTATAGTTTCCATGACCAAACACCTATGGTGTCCTAGCTCTGGTGCTTGGTGCTTTTTTTTTTTTTAAGGTTTATTTATTTATTTGAGAGAGTGTGAGCAAGGGGAGGAGCAGAGAGAGAGGGAGAGAGAATCTCAAGCAGACTTCCTGCTGAGTGTGGAGCCTGATGATGCAGGGCTCTATCTCATGACCCTGAGATCGTGACCTGAGCCAAAATCAAGAGTTGGCCACTTAACCAGCTGAGCCACCCAGGCGCCCCTGGTGCTGGGTGCTTTTACATCCAGTTTTTATGATCTCCACAATTACCCTGCTATGTAGGCAACATCATCCTTATTGTCCTGATGAAGAAAGTGAAGCTCAGTTAAGTAACCTGCCCAAGGTCACACAGTTGGTACGTTTCAAAGCAGGGAGTGCGGCTACTTGAACCCAGCTCAGTCTGAGGTTTTCTCCACAAAGGCCACATTGGCAGCTGGAGAAAACAGGCTTTTGTTGGCAAAGAATTGAGATATGGGCTGCATCTACCTACAGGTGGCACAGTGGCCGGGGGCTGTTTAGGGGGGTGCCCTACAGGCCTACCTTGCTGTCCCATTGCTGTATTCACAGGTGGCGTGGATGTGACAGAACTGTACGTAGGGCCCACAGGCGGAGGTCTGCTTGTGGCAGAACCTCCCCGCAGAGCCTTCTCTGCATGTGCCGGCCAGGCAGGCCCCGTCACTGTCGATCCTGTTATTGCATGTTCCGGAAATGCACAGACATTCTGGAAGAGAAGGAAGAGGGACATTTGGGGGTTGGGGGACAAATGTAGCAATGGGGCACATGGGTCATGGAGGAGAGAGACCCCTTCCCCCCACCCCCCTCTCATGCCCGTCAGAGCAGAACCTGGGGCGGAGCCGGGGGAGGGCTCTGGAGGCTATGTCTTAGCTTCTCAAGTGTGTCTCCATGTGCCCAAGACAGTGCTTGGTGAGCTTGACTGTCCCATCAAGGATGGGAAGAACTCAGTCCCAGAAGGGCTTTGCATGTATGTGTGTGGGGGGTGTGTGTGTGTGTGAAAGATGCCAAGGAACTCAATCTTCATTTACTTTATTGGTGGAGAGCTTAGTCTGGAAATTTCTCACCTTTCTGGAATCAGTAGAAGTGATTTCTCACGCCGGCATGGCCTCTGACGTGTGGCTTACATACTTGTTCTTTAGTCTCTATCACAGCAAACCAGTGCTAACTGATGGCCAGTATTTGTGCACTGACCTTGTTCTAGGCTTCGGTCCGGACTTTAATTGTATCATCTTATTAACAGTCAACAGCCTCAGAGGGTAGGTACTCTTATCATCCCCGTTTCCAGATGAGCAAACTGAGGCCCAGAGAGGTGACACACATTGCCTAACTTGCTGCTAAGTTTTCAAACAGAGACTTGAACCTAGGACTTCACATTCCATGTCTGTTAGTGCCCACATGCAAACACCATAGGTTAGGGTATTAGCTGGTGTTTCCACATGCTCGTGATCATTTTAAACTTCAGCGGTTTACTTTGCTTTTGATGATAGGTATTTAAAAATTGCAACGCATGCTTCAAACTCAAGCTCCTATGCACGTGGTAGTGAAAAGAAGGATGCAAAATTTCTTAAAGGCAGGTGGCAAGGATTTGAGGGCTCGGCTATGATCAGAAAGGAAGGCTTCTGCAGTTTTGCCCCAGGAGGGCAATAGGAGAGGAATTCGTGTGGGTGCTTGCAGCCAACATCCAGGACAGAGAAGAGAGACACAGTGAGTGGGCCGGAAAAGCATGGCTGGATTTAAAACAAAAAACTTTTCATAAACTTTTAAGCAAGTCAGGACTTCATCTGCAAGGGACAAGGGCACAGAAGGAAGAGGAGGCTCTCCTGCATGGGATGGTGGGCAGCCACAGGCCAGGACGAGAGGCGTTGGTGCGGAAACCTCCATGGCTTCCCCTGGCCTCAGCATCCTGCCCTGCTGGCCTCATAAAAATACCAACGTTGGCAGGCTTTGGAATAAAACCTTATTTTTGTTTCTCAGAAACCTTGTTTGGCATAAAGAACAGTGGACTAGGATCAGCAGCCCCACCCTGCTGTGTTCCAGTTTCCTGTCCATCTTGAGAGGTGGGTGTGAAGATCAGACCAGGTGAGAGAGGGGAAGGGCTGTGTGCTTTGTAACCAGCAAATGGCGTTAGGAGTGATCATAGTAAGAAGGGCTTCATCTACTGATTTCTTGCTAGGTGGAAGCTCTGTGCTATGGCCCTAAATTATGGTCTAACTGCATCAAAAACCCATGACATGGGTACTATTATTATCTTCATTTTATAGATGGGGAAAGTAAGACTCAATGAGACTCCTTCTAGAGTCACACAGCCTGTCAGTTGCAGAGTGGGGATTTAACTTCTGGCTGGCTTGATTCCACAGCCAGCTCTGATCTAGTCATTGTTTTTTTCTTTCAAGTTCTAATCCTAGTGTAGAAATATACATCTATATTTATTTCTACATATCTATGTATCTATCTACTTAAATATATACATGTTGCAATTTTAAAAGGCATAATGCATTTTCTAAGATCAAATAACTGCATTTTTTTTTTTAATGCCTAGTGTTGTGGAACTTTCTGCTTGTTCTCCAAGCTTCCTGACATTTACGTCACTGAACTTAGAATAATGGCAACAGTAACAACAATCACAGATAACAATAAGAGCTAGTGTATTTGTATTGCATTCTAGGTGCTAGGCATTGTCCCAAGGCAAGGGCTTTCCATTTATAATTTGCACTAACGTTATGAGGTAATTACTATTATTATCCCCATTTTATAGATGAGGAAACCAAAGTCTAGTGGGGGGAGTCACTTGCCCAAGGTCAGAGGAGGGAGGTGATAGAAGGGGATTGCTGGAAGGGTAGAGAGTGGGTCTGTGTGTTGCTACTGAGCCCACGGTCAATTCAGGTTTGTGGGGAAACCTTAAGAGACTGGTTTTCAAACTGTGGTCCTTTGGCCAACAGTGTGGGCATCCCCAGGGAACCCGCTAGAATCACAAGTTCTCCAATAGCACCCCAGGCCCGCTGCCTCAGAAACTCTGCAGTGGGGCCCTGCAGTCTGGTGTGGGCTACAGCTTGAGAACCATGTGTTGAGAAATGACCCAGGATGAGGGTATACACCAAGCAAAGGGGCACACAGCCCACAGACGCAGGGATCCTGGCTGAGGAACGGGAGGAAGCTCTGGAAGTGCCACTTACTTTTGTCACACCGAGGTCCGTATTTATTGGGATCAGAGCAGAACTGACACTGGGAGCCTTGGAAGCCATCTTGGCAAACGCACGTCCCATTGCCATCCAGGCCGTCCGCACACTGCAAGCAAAGGCAGGCCCCAAGGGCATGAGGACAATGCTCCACCGTAAAGAAGTCCCAGATGCCTTTGTGTCATGGCCTGACTTCTTTGAAGTCAGATTCTCTCTGCTACACATGGCTCTTTGGGACTCCTCGTGGAAAGAGGAGTCATGTTGGTAACAGGTAGGATGCTAAAACAAGGACAAGCTTGGGGTCCTGAGTCGGGATTTCAAACTTGAAGGGAAGTCATTCAAGGAAGAAGGGTGTCACCATGGTGAACTGGGAAGCTGCAAACAGTGCTTGCGGGATGGTGTGACCAGCCACCGACCTTCAGAATGAAGGCTGGCCGTTCTCTCCAGAGTCTCGCTCGCTCAGCTTCCTGACTTCAGACAACAGCGTCTCCCCCTGCAGTGTAAGACTTCTTGTCTTCCACCTCCCCATTTCAGCTGTTTCAAGGTTGGCTTTGCAAGGATCACTGTGCACCAGAGCTGGGCGGGGGCGACTTCCTGCCACAGGCTGTGGTAGCTAATTCGTACCTGCTTTGCCCTGGTCTTCCTCACCTCAACCCATTTGTGGTTGCAGTTTGTCCTCCCCCTTGAGAGGGGCATATTTTAGATGTGGGTTTCTTAAATGCACAGATCTATAATTTCCCATGTTAACCACTGCTACTTTTACCTTTGTTTGTTTAGCTTTGGCCTCTAAGCTAGAGGAGTCAAGTTTGGGCCTTTACATTTTACTAGGTTTTGGAGGTGGGTTAATAAAAAGCGGATCACTGGGCTGTGCCTTTTTTTTTTTTTTTTAGTATCACAAAATCTTCATCCTGAAAGAAATCTTAGAGATCAATGCAGGGGACTCTGCTTTCCTCTCATAGGAGGAAAGTGGGGTCAGAGGGAGCCCTCATTGAATTATCCAAGGTCAAGTGGTCAGCAGCAGGAAAGCAGACATTGGAACACTCCCAGACTCCCCCCTCCCCACCTCTGGCCCCAATTCCTTCCGCTACATCTGTTCTTTTAGCAACTGATCTGTTTCTTCTACTTTCTGGGAATAGTGACTGGCACTGTAACACTTCCTGGTTTAGTGGTTTTAAAAATTGCTTTTCCACTTGACTTAGGACAGGTCAAGCTCAGTACTCATGAAACAGTTTATATCACCTGGCCGTTCCCTGAGCACGGATTCGAGAAGCCTCCAGGACACTGGTTGCAGTCAGGCCCGTAGAAACCTTTGCAGCACTTTGGTATCTGAGAAACAAAACGCGTGTTGCCTTTTGAAACTGCAAGCAGAGTGCCAATTCCTCAAAGGAGATACATTTTAATCTCCATTATTGTAATAAACAGCATTAGCTCCCCGTTATGGGCTCAACTTCATCTGCAGATGATGGCACGGCTGGTGCTCAGCCATCTGCTCACCACACGTGTACTGAGTGCCAACCATGGCTGCCAAGCCGGCTCTGGCACTGCGAGAACAAGACCTGAAGGCTTGTGCTGATGGAGGCCACCCTCTATGTTGTCGGGAAGAGACTGTCAAGGATGGTAACAGACAAGCTGGACACGCGGCAGTGGCCGGTCCGTAGCGGGGTTGGGGGGGGTGCGTCAAGAGTGTGGGCTCTCTGTTAAGAGCCAGAGGGAACCACAGGAGGGATGGATGCAGGGAAGGGGGTGACCTGGACCCCATGGAGAGAGTTCACTCTGCCATTCCCCTGCAGGAAGACATGGCCAAGGCCCCACCGGCACCCTGTCACCTCACAGGTGCTGAGGCCCCGGAGTGTGGCCCTGGAGATGCCCGGCCCTGCTAGCCTCACCTGCACAGTGGCATTGCAGTATCGGGCACAGCCGCTCTTCAGGCTCCTTATTCTGCCAGTGTAGACACATCTGTGTGTGAAGAGTGTCTGGAAGAAAGCCAATGGGAAAAATGCATTGAGTCTGCATTTTGAGGTCCTCTGGGCATTGCTCGGTTTCGTACACTCGAGAGCCTACTTCCGTTTCCCTTTGACATCAGGCAAGAGCACCAGAGCACTCCAGCTCACGTGGCTCTCTGTCAGAGCTTCGTCACCTTCTTTCCTTGTTGGTAGAACACAGGCTGGGATTGGCACAAGTCAGGGCACATTTATTTTTACCTCCCCTCTCTTGCCATAGCAGACTTTGCCAGTTGACCAGGGAACACTCTAATGTTCATCCTCGATGTGACTTAGCCTCCTCTTCTAATCAATAGCCATCCCCAAGCTCCTTCTAGATAGAAATTTTGGAGCCAGTAGAGAGTCTCTCTCTAGTCTGTAGAAAGATCCACCAAACAAAATAGTGATGGTCTGAGTTTTTCTCATAGGAGTGGTGTATATATATGTGCATGGAGGAAAGACTTAAGTGCAACCTTCCATTCTCTAAGCCCTGGTGCCCGATCATAATTATCTAGAGCTGCCATTTATCAAGAGCCCACTAGGGTCAGATGCACTGCACATATAAGGTCATCAATCTTCAACTCTTTCCCTCTTTTGTAGATGAGGGAACTGAGGCCCCGACAGGTAAACCATTTTTTCTAAAGAGCACCACTAGTAAGGGGCAGGTCCAGAGGATGGGTCTTACCACATACTAACTTTAGGATATCACAGGCAAGTCATGTAGTCTCTGTGGGCCTCAACTGCCTCATCTGTGAAATGGGACAATAATGCTGATCTCAAGTTTTATCCTAAGCATTCTGTCCCTGGCTCAAATTTTATGTTAGGTAACCGTTGATGTGGAGGCACCCCTTCATCTTAGGCTCTTGCTCAAGAAGGTAGTGTTGAGAGCTTCATGGGCTGTAAAATCCTAAAATCTGAGCTATATAAAGGAATTCTGCAGTCACTGAGGAAGGAATATTCAGTCCTCTTGTCAGCTCTCAGGATAATTAAGTAAGTTTAGACCATGGGAGCCTGGGAAGGGAAGTTTTGGGCTTTTTTGGTTCTAACCCATGTATCTAATTCTGCCTTCTTTCTTTCCTTCTCTTCCTTACTTGGGCTGTAGTGATGGAGGATCATGGTTCTGCCACGTATTAGCTGTGTGACCTTGTACGAAGCGTTTTATGTTTCCTTATCTTCGTTCCCAGATCACAAGAGGGCTATGATGGTAATATACCTACCTCGTAGGTTTGCTATGTAAAGCATTTAGAACAATGTCTTGCACACAGCAATCGCTCTGATGCTAGTCAACATGATTTCCTCTCTTTTCCTCCCTCTCCGTATTCCCTGGTTGACAGCATCCTGTAGGACTCAGGGGTGATGTCTTGACTGAGCAAAATAACTATCTGTACACCTGCCCCTGTTTAATGTTCATGTTTTGCTTTATTAAATGCTTCTCAGTAGGATTGTGTTAAAGAGCTCATCTCCTTCCTTAGTGACCTATTCTAGTGTTGAATGATACTTCTCGTTGGGATGCTCTTTTTTTAGGACAAAATTATAGGCAGAGATTTCTAACATCAATTTTACCTTGGAGCATTTTGCTTTTGTCACCTATAGAGCACTTGGCATATGAATTCTGGATTGTTGTAGAACGATCTGTTTTCCCTGTTAGACTACATCTTCTCAACACAAAAGCAAAAATGAAACAAAACTACATCTCATTCATCTTTATGCCATGGGAACCAGCTCTCAATAGATGTGAGCAGAATTCAGTCGAACTTGAAAAGGGTTTGATGGTCCTAATGTCATTCTCTTGATAGGCCTTGCATTTCTATCTAGAAAAATGCTTGGGGTGAGCAAAGAGGAGTAAAGTGTGGCAGAATATGTCAGCCCCAAATCGGCCACTTGGCCTAAGGATTGTTTTGAGCTCAAGGAACCCTTGAAAAACAGCAGATAGAAAAAGGACACTCTGACTTCCCCCCGCTTCTTTCTGAAAACAGGAGATAAAACTCCCCTGTGAAAGATGCCCTCCCTGTACCAGGACAAAAGAGACCTCTTGTCACTAGAGACAAGAAGCTGAAGCAGAGAAAAAGCTGCACAAATGGGCCATGTTAAAATAACCCTGAATTCCCTCTAGCCTCCCTGTACAGTGACTTTCCCATAATTGCCTCCTTTTATTTAACCTGCCACGTAAACATTTGGGTTTTGCCATTTCTTTGGGTCTTCGCTTTCTTATGGGCTCTCCTGTGTACACATACAATCTGTGAACTTTTCTCTTGTTAATCTGTCTAATGTTCATTTAATTCTCAGGCCCAGCCAGAGATCTTAAGATGGTGAAGGCAAAGCTTTGACTCCCCTATACAAACTTAAGAGGGTGAAGTAGAGAAAGAATGAATCTTTACTGAGTAGCCACTTGATTCATGTATTGTACTTGGGTTTTTAATCTCTGCTAATCCTCTTATTATTATTATTTACAGACAAAAAAATTTAGTGTAAGAAGGTTAAGCAATGCCCCTAGGGTTTAATGAGCAAGGATTCAAATGCAGCTCTGTCTACCCTCCCCCATACAGTGGGCTTTCTACCCTCCCCCATATAGTAGGCTAAGAGCCAATCTGACGTTACCCCAGTTGGAATTAATATCTTTTAAGAAGAAAGGTAGAAAAGATGAGAAGCAACACCAGTGGGGACACTTGGGTGATGTGTGGTTTCACGAAGCCATCACACTTACTGTGGGCTCAGAGTTAGCAGGACATTTGCTCCAATACACCAGAGAACAGCTCACACAGGTGCCCTGGAAGGAAAGACAAGGATCAGTACAGGTATCCCTGGAAGAGGGAGCAGGGGACCACCCTACCTGGCCTCATGCTCCCTTCCTCCAGGGGACCGCTCTGGGGCCTCCCTCTCCACTCCCTACTGGGGCCTCCCTGGAGAGAAGGAGGGAGGTCAGTGTCCGTGCCAGAGGGTTTAGGAGCTGGAACTGAGCTTGCTCAGAGCAGCCCCCTCTTCTCCCTTGTTCACGGTCAGATCAACCGTCCACCGGCCTGAGGTTTCTGATTGATTCTCCGCCATGTAGAGGCACCTGTCCCTGAGGAAGCATTGCAGATTTTCCACCTGTGCCAGAGATGGAGCGTTAGCACTGGGCACAGACTTGTTCTCCAATTAGCCTAGCGGCAGCAAAGCTAAGCATCAAATCTCCGTCTTTCAGTCTCTGAACTGAAAAGCGCCCCCCCCCCGCCCCGCCCCCGGGGCTTCTTGTTTCATTTGAATTCAGGAGGAAGGAGAGGGGTGCGTGCTTCCAAATCTTTCCAGATCAATTTTCTGACCTCTTTTGGGCTCTGTGCTCCAGCAGGTGGACCTTGAAGAATGATCTCCCAGCACCCCCCTGCCAGTGTCTTAATGGTCTTGGCCAATGTGAGACGCCAGCTGGATACTGGTGGGTAGGAGGAGGGCAAGATCGAGGTATTTCTTCCCTACATCTCTGCCGGGCACCATCACTATAGCTCCTGATGGATGCCACTTCTTCCAACCTTCCAGCTCTCACTGGGTTCGGTACCTCCTAGCCCTCCCTTCCTCACCTCTCTGGTCCTGGATGGTAATAATTTCCTGCCATGCCTTCTCCTTGGATGCCCCAGCATAATTCGGTTGTCTCCTTAGCCCTGCCCACCCCTCTGTAGTAGCTTCTTCATTAAAGTCTCTTCATTTGAACCATTGGGGTAACTTCTGTTTCCTGCAGGGACCCTAACTAGTACAGAGAATTACTAATTAAACCTCTAAAATCCAAACATACAAGACAAGGCAGCTATGGGTTCAGGCTGGTGCAAACTGAGACTTCTAGAGAGTCCCAGCTGCCCTTATTCGGTGCTAGCCTAAATACTTTGCAGAGAATGCATTTGTACTTTTTTAAAAAAGATTTTATTTATTTATCAGAGACAGTGAGACAGAGCAAGAGAGAGCACAAACGGTGGGGAGGGAGAGAGGGGGAGAGAGAAACGGACTCCCCACTGAGCGGAGAGCCCAACGCAGTGCTCGATCCCAGGACCCTAAGATCATGACCTGAGCCGAAGGCAGATGCTGAACTGACTGAGCCACCCAGGTGCCCCAGCATTTGTACTTTTAACAGACCTAACAAAAACTATCCTAAATCATGTAGAGCAGATAGATTTGACTTTAAACCCAGAGAAAATAATAAAAGAAGACTCTATCCTAAGGCAGGTGTTGGGAAGCTCTTTTCTCTATTAAACCAAAATCCTTTGGGTTGTGGCCCAAACCCACCTCTAGATTCTTTCCTTTGGGAATTTGGAGAACAAGATTTTGAGCAACCTGGAACAGAGCAACCCTGTAACAAGGCAGGCAGTGAGGGCTGCCCTTGTCCCTCCATAGACTTCTTTTCTTGACCTTGAATGGCAGCTGCTTGGGATGGGGAAGCTCTAAAGTCAATAATTAGACTCCTATTGAGTCTTTTTGGCAGAGGCCCTATTTTCCAAAAATCTTTCACCTTTGGGATAGGAGATGAGGCTATTCTCGTCTGGCCTGTTCTGATCTTCACCCTAGCTCAAGCCAGGTGATGTACCTGCCAAAACTTTTTTTTTTCAAAGAATGAACCAAACAAAAATCACTGGTAGGGACTGGCTGGGAAAGTGACTAGGTTTCAGCCTCTCTTAAAAAGGGGTGCTCAGAATGGAATCAAATCCCCCAGATGGTATATGACTGGCATGGAGAAGAGGTACTTGCACAATATCCTAAAACATATCAGAAGAACCAGCCACAATCCTGTACCAGGTGACCAACCAGCTATTTCCAGCCTTCATGATAAGAAGAGGGATCAATAAATAAAACCTATAAAATGAAACCATTATTCCTTGCTCAATGCCCATATTCCAAGGATATTTTGAGAACAATCATTGAAGTATTATTGCAGTGTCCTGAAAAGAAAGACCCAGACCGATTATTGCACTAACTTTGGGGGTATGGTTTCCATGGGAACTGAAAGATCACGTGTACAGCAGTGTTGAAATTTGGGGTGCTTTGCATAAAATCAGCTCAGTCAAGTAGGTTGCTATGGAAATAGGAAAGGCCATTAGAGGGTACACAAGCTCATAGGCAAACAGAAAGTTTGGTATTTGAAAAGAAATACAGAAAGATGGTTGATTGGCGAGGCCAGAGCACCCACCTGAGAAGAAATTCTTTTTTACGTTTCTGGGAGTAAAGCTATGGGCTTGGAGCAAGGTGGTCCCAGGGGACACAGGCAGGGGGTGATCCCACTTCTTCTGGTGTAGTGGGCTGAATAGTGTTCCCCACCAAATTCGTGCTCCCTTGAGTAAGTCTTTACAAATGTAATTAGTTAAGATGAAGTCATACTAGATTGCGGGGGAGGTTCTGAATCTAATGGCTGGTGTCCTTAACAGAAGTGAGGGGACCCACACAGTGACTAGAGTGGGAAGAAAGCCACTTAAAGACAGAGGCAGAAATTGGAATAATGCAGCTGAGAAACGCCAAGGATTCCCAGGAGGCATCAGAAGCTGGAAGAGGCGAGGAAGGATGCCCCCTCCCAGAGCCTTCAGAGGGAGCACGGCCCTGCTAATACCTTGATTTCAGACCCCTGGCCTTCAGAACTGTGAGAGAATACATTTCTGTTGCTTTAAGCCTCTTCCTTTGTGATAATTTGTTATGGCTGCTCTAAAAAGCCACTAGATCTGGGAGGCATCGATCATGGTTATGAGCTAGGACCTCAGGCCCGTCTGCCTCTTCGTGGAGACAGAAACCTGTCTGGAATGAGGCTCCTGCGGTGAGACTCTCCTTGCCAGCTTCCTCAGGAGCGTGAGAGGGAAGGATGTTGTCTGCCCTGTGGGGCTGTTCGGGGCCCCTCTTTATCTTCCTAGCTTCCTTACCAGTCTCATCTCTCTCTTGCTTTCATCACATCGATGGGGCAGAATCGGCACAATGGAGGGAGGAATGAGGACGCCAGTCAGGGTGTAGATTCGGCCGTTTTTGGCAATGACCTCTGTCTCTTCCATGGCCACATCATTTGCCAGAATCTGTCCCTGGAAGGAAGCAGGGACATCTTTCATTCTGTCCTGCAGGACACCAGCCGTCCCCAGGCAGACCTGGGTGCGTGGCCTCCTGTCACACGGTTGCTACGAGAAGGGCCTGGCTGACAGGAAAAGATGGATTTTTTTAAAAAAAGGCTGGTTTATTTATTTTAGTGAGAGAGAGAGAGCACAAGGTGAGGGGACAGAAGGAGAGAAAATGCCAAGCAGGCTCCATGCTCAGCGGGGAGTACGACGCGGAGCTTGATCTCCAGACCCTGAGATCATGGCCTGAGCAGCAACCAAGAGTCAGTCGTTTAACTGACTGAGCCCCCGGGGCACCCCAGGGAAAGATGGATCTGAAATGAATTCTTGACTGAACTGGGCAAGGATGTCTCTGCAGAGATGGTCCTTGCAGGTGCGGGGCTGGGAAGGGGGATAACTATTCCACCTCTATGATATATTCGCTAAAAGACCACGGGTTAACCATTTTACCTCCCTGTTGGCGAAGCAAAGATCCATTCATTCAGATACATTTATTGACCCTGTATTATGCTCTGCTTTAGGCGCTGGGGATACATCAGTAAAAAACCCAGACAAGTCCCTGCTTATGTTGTAGGGGAGGGAGCAGAAAATGAACAGATGGGCAAAGAATTCTGACCTCCTTTCCCCCCAAATCTGCTCCACTTGTGGTATTAAGGGCAACTCCATCCTTCTGGTGGCCCGAGTCAGAAGCTCAGGAGACGTCTTCCTCTAATCCATCAGCAGATTCTCTTGGGGCTTCCTTCAAAATGCCATCAGAATGCAACCACTTCTTCCCATAGCCTTGCTACCACCCTGGTCTGAGTCACCATCATTCTTCTCTGGGTTATTACAGTCAGCTTCTAACTAGCCTCCCCGAATGGATGTCTGATCATGTCACTCCACGCCTCGAAATCCCCCATGGCTCCTCATCTCATTTAAAGTAAGAGTTCGTAGGCCATGCGTGACCTGACCCCGCTTCTCCTTCTCCCTCCCACTGCCTTGACCTCTCCTACCTCTCTTCCTTCATTCCCTCTGTTCCAGCGATGATGACCTTGCTATTCCTCAACCAGGTCAGGCATATGCTCCCTTCTTTGTGCCTTTCTTTGCTCCCTCTCTCTGGAATGCTCTTTCCCCCAGATATTCATGTTGCTTGCTTGTTTCTTCACTCCCTTCAGGACTTTGCTCAGATGTTTTCTTCTGCATGAGGATTTCTTGGGCATTTTATTTAAAATGTCAGCTTCATCCTTGCTTTATATCCCCCTTCTTTGTTTGTTTGCCTTAGCACGTGCTACTTTCTAATATTTGCTGTGTTTTACTTATTTAATTTGTTTACTATCTTCCTATTTAATAGAATGCAGGTTGCATGTAACCAGGGACTTTTCTCTATTTGCTCATTCGTCTACGTTTAAGACCCAGAATGGTGTCTGGCACATAGTGGGCACTCAATAGATAAAGAAAAGATGCATCATCATTATCATCACCATCAAGAGTGAATCAACAGGAGATATAATCTGCATGCTGTCAGCCTTTTGCTCATATTAGCCCAGGGAGTTAGCTGAATAACACTGCCTTCACTGAGTTTCTTAAATAAGTCATGTTCCCTCCCACCACAGGGCCTTTGCACATGTTCTCCCTTCTGCCTGGAACTCTCCTCTACTCATCTCTGCTGAAGTTCCCTGTACTCATCCTTTGAAACTTGTCTAAAGCATCGCTTCCTCCCTGAGGACCTCTAGATGCCCAGCCTCCTCTTACTGTAAACTCTCATTATAATTATAATTGCACTTATTATAATTGTAATGAAACAATTAGCTGGTCATTAATTAGCTACTCGAAGTCTGTTTTCCTTGCTAGAATGTAAGCCGGTCTTCTTCATTGCTTTATCCTGGGCATCTAGATCAGAGTCTCACACCTGCAGCTGCTCAGCAAATAAATGAAATCATAAAAAGCAAGAAATAACACATGAAGGAAGTAATCATCAAGACCGTAAGCCTGGGAGTTAGGTTATAGGTAGGATAACCTGGTGAACAATCATAAGCAGAGCAAAAATGCATGTGAGTCACAACAGCGCGGTAGAATTTTTTCACCTACGTTGTTGGTTGTGTTGAACTGTATGATCTGGTTGGCCAAGCTCCTAATGTGTGGGATCACAATAAGAGAAGCCACTTCCAGCTGCAAAGAGAAGAGAACAGCACAGACATTTTTGAGCAATGCATAGAGCCCTGCTTTTGTAAAGTTCTCATTGGAAAAAATAGCCTGGAAGTCTAGGAAATAAATAATGGGAAGTCTGATGTCATCAGTTTTGTGGCTTTGAGGGTTTCTTTGATAACAGGCTCATTATTCATTGCTTAGGGTATGCCCAGAGCTACAGATAAAGAACAATTGTCATGGATTTTCTAGCACTGTAATAATGGAATTTAAGATGAGGTCAGATATGTGGAAAGCAGGAAAAAACAGGGCAGGAAAGTGGGGCCAACCTGAGTAAATGGGACAATGTGGTATCTGACGAGTTCCAGAAGCTTCCGAGATCCCTGCAACGGAATCAAAATACTTCTTTAGTCATTGCAGAAAATACAACTTGCCCCCCTTTTGTGGGAACTTCCTCCAATGACCTTGGATGCATAATTAAGAAAAGTCAATGCCCCGTAATCTCTTCATTGGGAAGTGCAGGATGAGAAAAACCCCATCCTCAAGGAGCTGACATTCACCAAATTCCTCCTTTGTGGCAGGAGCTGTTCTGAAAGCATTATACGCATATTTTATCTAATTTTCTTAAAAGCCTTGTGAGGGAGGGACCGCTATTGGCTCATTTTATGTGTGATAACACCAAGTTTTAAAGACACCACCGAGGTCACAAAGCTAACTTAGGATAATAAGCCTAAGAAGTTCTCAGTCACTCTGTTCCATTACTTCTCTGAATGTCTAAAGCTACATTCTGGAATTTCTAAGATAGCCTCAGTTGATGATTCTGTTTCATTTTCCCCATAAATAAATGTCTGCTTGTCAGACCATGTGCTGGTTATTTAGGAATTTACACAATCCTTCTTAGGAATATCTGGGCAGGACACTCTCCCCTTCTGAGCCGCCATGGTCCATGGTCCTCTCTCCTTCAAAGCCCTTTCCATGATTTCTTATGCTTCAGAAGCATTGTAGCAGTGGAGAAAAAAGAGAGTCTTGGGACTATCCGCGGGATGAGCAGTCCCCGTAGGGGTGCCCTGGGGAGAGCGTACGGAGGTGAGGACCGCAGGGAACCACTCTCTGGGGACCAGTGGCCGTGGGGGTCTGCAATCTCCCAGCAGAATCAGAGCTGGGAGTTACAAGCTCATAGCCCTTGAGTTCTGCTACTTAAGTGGCATGGCCGTGGTTACTCTGGCTTGGACGGGAGGAGGATCACAGATCAAGATCATAGTCACCTCCCAGAGGTTGACATTTTAGGGACATGTCCCAACAGCGAGAAGTCCCAGGTCAAAAGAGAGCCCAGCTGAATCTGAGGCCCATGAGCCCAGACTCCCCTCTGCACGTGTTCTGGGTCCCTTGGCCGAGGGAGTTTCCCCTAAGTAGAGTGACCCCTTATCCTGGCTTGTTTGGTACAACCCTGCTTTATGCCTTGCATGTTGGCAGCCCCATTCACTCTCAAGTATCCTGGTGTGGATGATACATTGTATGGCCACCATATCGAGAAGCCCAAAGCAGTATGTGCAGGGCAGGGTTACCCGTAAGAATGTCGGAGTTGAACCCCCAGTAGCCAGCCCTGGCAGTGATGCTTTCTGTAGCCTCAGCTCTGTTACTGTGTGACTTCAGACTCTTAGATTCTGGCTGCCTTCTGGTACCCGCAAGTGAGGACTTGCAGGCTGAAGCAATGAGATTACAAGTTTGGATGTTCAGTGGCGGAAGGGGTGAGCAAAAGTGGGGCCTGCTGGGAAATGTCAGCCCAAACTGGATTGCAAGGCAGGGGCGGGGTCTGACTGGCTTATTAACCAGAGTCGCCGAGCCACGCAGTGTGTGGTACACAGGGGGACCCGCGTCAATGTTTGTGCTGATAAGTTAAAAGCGGGGGAGGGGTCCTGGGAAGAGCACTGAGCTGGACCTTGGGGTCCTGAGTTCTAATCCTGATTGTGTTGCTGTGACCTTGAGCAAGCCACGTAGCTCCTCTAGGCTCGGTTTGGCCTGCAAAATAAAGAGAGTGGTGTGGACCCCTTCCAACCCTCTGATTCTGTAGAGGAGACTTTATTAACTGGATCATTTGCTTCTAAAGCCCTAAGAATTAATTGGTGTTGGATTGTTTTTTACAAGAAGCAGGAGAATGAAAGGGACAAAGGAACTGATAGGTGTCATTCCCGCCTTGTGTGTGCCTGTCCCCTTGTCTGGCTGGGAGCCACGAGGGCCATCGTTCAGTTAGAATTGAGTCCAGTGTGGCTCAAATCGACAGGATGTGCATCCAGGTGCTGCTCTTTGTAGCAGAGACTTTCCGTGTAGTTAGTGCATCCTTTCCCTTATGAAGACATTTGCTTCCTCCTTGCTGTTTTAGGTAAAAATGACAAAAACCCAGCCCTTTGATGCCAGGGCAGAAAGAGAGTTTTTCTACCAAATTGTTAACATGACCCTGAACTCTGCAATTTCACCTCCCTTTGTCCCATGTTACTTGCAAGGTATTTGTGAGCTGGCAAGGGCCAGTCTCTGGTTCCCTGTGCTTTCATTTCCCCTAGTTCAGTGATGAAGTCCTCAGCTGGGGCTGGTCATCAATAGCTGTGGTCTCTGTGTGGTTAGGATGGTTCCTGGACTGAAATTTTGCTTCAGGGAGAAGCAGAAAGATACACTGGAAAGGAAACATGGCACTCTAAAATCAGAATTAGAAGCCATTCCTCTAATGGAATCAGTTTATTTTCCATCTCATGGGCATAGCTGATGGGGACTTTTCTGTCTCCAGCTGAGGTTCTTCCCGGAAATAAGGCTGAAGGATGCTATTAAAATGCATGGAGAGAGAAGGACCTTCCTACAGGTTGAGAAGTTTTAACCAAACAGGCTCTGGGTCTGAGAAGAAAGCGGAAATGATCATTCTATTCCTCGCTTAGAAGTGGGAGAACAGTTTTGACTCAGAACGAAGAGACCTGGAGTGTTTATATTCTCTGCGGGCAGAAAGATACTGCCTTTGAGAGCAAGGAGATTGAGAGCCAGGAGCAGTGGTGTGCTGGTAAATCAGTTCTGCGGGGAAACAGAGGAGCCCAGATTTACAGAGTTGGCCAATTTCTGCCATGTAAATATTGCCACCATAGATTAATTTCGAGCTGCAAGGCAATCTCAGTGAGCAAAGCTGGGGACAGGTACACAATCTACTTGAGAGCCCAAGCAAGCCAGCCAGCTTCAGCCACAGCTGGAAGGAGTCATGACAGAAGAGAAAGACAAGAGATTTCTGAGCAAAGGTGCTTGACAGAAAAGCAGGGAGGTCGATGTTTCTCTATTCTAATTAAAAGGTTTTGTCTTAATTTTAAGTGTTGCAGGTTAGGTGTCTGAGAACTCCTTCAATATTATTTTTAAAAAACTGGTATCAAATTAGAAGCTATGTACTCAATGAAGCCATATAATCTCAGGATTTTAATAATTTCCCAGGGGAGCAACATTACTTTTTAGCTTTAAAATTAAGTATGAGAGCTTTAACCGCCTTTCTGCAATAGCTAGGTTTCAGAAAACTTGTGTGTGAATTGTATTTTTAAAATAGCACCCTATCTTGAAGACACTGGGAAATCTAGTATTATAAGTGGAAACCTGTAGCAAATTCTTTAATATGGTGAATGTTCATTTGCAGTGTAAGAGATTACCTTAATTCAAAGTTTTCTGAAGGCAAGATACCCTTGTAGATACCTGAAAGTGTTCTAGAAAGGTATGTATCCATATGCATCTCTAAACCATACATGCAACAAGATTCAGGGTTCCAAAGAGAACGTGGCCTGGGTTAGAAAATTGGTGCTTCCCCAAATGTCTATTTCTAGATCTCATGGAGGTGTTACTAAATCAAAATGCTTGGGGTATGGTTTGTGAAGCCGCCTAGTTAACAAATTCCAAGGGTGATGCCTAAGTATACTGAAGTTTAGGAATCACTACCCTAAAAGATCTGGACCCTCCATTCTGTATAATGAACCGATCTACCTAAGGTCATGGATAGTCTTGCCCCATTGGCAAGATGGTAGCATGATTTCAGGGCACTGGAGGAAAGCTTGTGGCCCTTCCTATAATTCCATCATTTGACATTCTAATGAACAAAATTCCATAATTAATTACTCTTTTCTTTGATTTAAGGCTGTTATTTCTGGGAGAGGAAACACATTAAATGGTTTCAATCACTTATACTCTTATGTGAAGGAGTAAAAAAATCTCCTTTCTAGAAGCGAATGTGAAAGAATTAAAGGCCTTTGTGGTATATAAGGAGAGATTATTATGAAGAAAGATGAAAGCAATAGAAAGGAATGCCTGGGGCATCTAAAAATAACATTTATTCCTTTTTCTTTTTTTTAAAGAAGGCTTCATGTCTAGCATGGAGCCCAACATGGGGCTTGAACTCATGACCCTGAGAGCAAGACCTGAACTGAGATCAAGAGTCAGACATTTAACTGACTGAGCCACCCAGGTGCCCCCCAACATTTATTCCTTTTAAATTTAGCCTAGACCTGGCCCAGAATGGCCTAGTTTAGAGTTCATTTACAAGGTAGTTTTAGAAGTTGTAGGGAACTTAAAATATTGATTTTGCTACTGAGAAATATTAGAAGAGCCAGGAAAAATCAAACCAATCATTTAGACCTGAGGTTGCAAAAAGATTTCATTTCCTGTGCTCAGTCTGACTGGCTATTTGGAACTCTGTCTAGGAGATTGTAGCCACATCCATAGTTCCAGAGGACTGTGATTGATTAATGATGTCTGCATTGGTTGCGGGAGGGTAGGTGGTGATAAATGTGTCACTTGTTGAACGTCCCTAGTTTGGAAAAAGTCTGTATGGGCTCACATCATGTCAATGATGTCATAAGAGTAAGTAGGATACCATACCTCTGGAGAAAGGAGGTAATCAAGAGTGCCGTCCTTCATATTGTTTAATGCTTCATTACTTGGAACGAAAATGGTGTATGGTCCACCAGCCCCATCTTCATCTAAGGCATGTCCCACATTGGTTTCCTGCATTGAGGAATGAAATTTTATATCTGCAACCTATCTCTGACAAATCCTTGAAGTAATTCCTTAGCAAATATTTATATTTGATACCTCTGCTCATTATACAAAAGATTGGACATAAAACCATTTTCCAGAAGTTCATGGAAACTACATACCTCTAACAAAGATCTGAACTTGCTGTATCTTGGTTGTAGCATTGTCATTATGGTTTGCTAAAAATCAAGAAAAGAAATAGGTGGTTTAGGATATAGACACCCCAACATTAAAAGGTCTGTGACAAAGTTTATGTGTAAATGTGGATAGAAAAGAACCTGGTCAACTGCAACACATTATAGAGATGTTTCCTGTTGTTAGTTGAATTGGTGGTTCAGATCTGCATGTTCTAAAGTAGCCTTTGACCATCATCAAATGAGTCGAAAGAAATAAATTTTTATCACAGGGAGGACTGCTCTGCTCCATAAAGCACGAGGGATAACTTTTCATGACAACTGGTTACTGGACTGAATCATCATATGTGGCCATAAAAGAGATCATAAAATTGAGATCTTTCCAACACCTAATGCATGTTTCTCTTTCTGTTGACAGAGATACCCAGAATTCTATTGAAAACAGAAATTATCCCATTTTCCCCATGGTTGGGGTCCTAGTAGACATGAAAGACAAGCCCATAGTGCTGGCATGCGTTTTCTTCTTTGCTATGACTCTCCAGGGTACAGAGAAAGATGGATTTGGGTTGACCTAACTTTTACCTGAAATGTCTCACCTTAGTGTTGCTCTCAAATGTGGGTGCCATCTTGTCCATGGCTCTGTCAAGGATGTGCAGGAGCCCATTGGAAGCAACTATGTCCCCCTGTATAATTTTTACCGTCTTTTTGCCTCCATAGAGTTTAAGTTTTATTTGATTGTCCTAAAACACGAAGAAAAAATAAAATTAATGTGGTATCCTTGAAGGAGTATTGGATTAGAAGTCCTGAGTCTTTGGGATCTATCACTTATTGGCTATAGGATCTTGGATAAGTCACTTAACCCAAAATGGGAAGATGTCATTTGCTTGCTTCACTTCACAGGTCTTTCATTAAGATCAAATGAGATAATGTGTGAAATCACTGATGACTACCAGGGATTGCTAAATGTGAATAGGAACCATAAGTCTCCCTGAATAGACTGCAAGGTCAGAAAGGGTAAAACAATTCTATTTACTGTAAACTTAACACCTACTTTAGTGTGTTGTATGGACAAGGCACACAATAAAAAAATTTTGTTGCATAAATGACTGAAGCTAATTCCTTTTTCCTTTCATGTGGCTCTTATAAGGTATAGACAATAACTATGTGTTGAATGAGTGAATGAATGAATGAATGAATGAATGAAAGAATGTCCTTGTGAGAAAAGGAGCTACATTTTCATCCATCTATCTAGATATCTACCCATCATCCATCCATCCATCCATCATCCATCCATCCATCCTCTCACACACAGTATAACACATTGGTTAATGATTCGGGTCTTGGAGTCAAGGAGTCCTATATTTGAATCCTGGATCTGACCCTTATTTGTGACCTCTCAGTTTTCCCACTTGAAAAATCACCTTTACAGCATTGTTGCAAGTCTTATATGACATAAATAAAGGTTCATCTCAGTACAAGAGTAAGTGCTCAATAATCTAACAAATACTGATAGTTGGTGAAATGCAAGAATATAGGCCATAACCCACACATGCACCTTCTGTTTGCTAATCACGTTCCTCCGGCTCAGTAAAGTCACAGAAAGAGTTATTTGTGAGAGGGGAGGAGGGTAGTTTTACTTAAGCAACAGAACAGAACCAACGGCATTAGGAGAGATGGGATGCTAGGTTTGCAGAGGATGGATAAACTCCAGTAACCTAAACCAAACATAATCCATTTTCTTTTGCAAGAGGGATGCTGATCTGGCTTTGTGCCAGCACTTCCATGAAAGAGGTTTACTACAAAGCTTCTCTTTCCTGCTGGCATCCAAATGACGTTCCCTTGAAGACAGATTCAAACCAGAGCAAAATCCAACACTTTATAACCCTCTTTCCACAACAGATCCCTCTGGCCCGACCCTTCCTGGTGTCGCTCTCCACTTCTTCCCTCATAGGGAAGTGCTTTGGCAAACGAGGAATAAGGAAAGACATTCCCCGTAAACTTCAAGAGCCCAACCACAGATGGAGTCCGCTGTGGGCCCTGGCTCAGCAGACACTTTTGTTCTGGAAGTGAAAATCAGAGAGGCCCTTACCTTATCGCCATTGAAGATTTCTCCTGACTTTCCAGTCAAGGTGTAGAAAGTGTCTGTGTTATTCATACGCTCGGTGTTCATCTGCCCAGCAATTATGTGGAGTTTCACGAAGTACTGAGCAGCCTCCTTATCCATCAAGAGCTCTTTGACCTGAGGAAAGAGAGCCAGTCCCTTCAGTTTCCACTGGTGTTTGAAGGACAAAATGAGGTTGTGAGGCATGCATTGGCCAAAGATGTCAATGCCAAGGCCCCCTAACTGAGGCCTGGGCTCTTTCAGACACAGGTGGCTTTGGGGGGCAGAGCGCAATCTAGAGAGCAGGAGGTGGTGCTCAGTGTCCTCTCAAATCACCAGGAGCAAGGAAGGTGCAAGCACCCAGGAATCAGCTTGAGCCCAGGGATCAGATGGAAATGAAACAAGAAGTTATGTGAAAAGAAAGTACAAACTAGATCCATGGAGCTTTTGAGTAGGAAAATTAGGATTTTTGAAATCCACTGGATCAAATCTACATTTTGTCAGTATTATATATCATCAGCAATCAATCAACAGATACTTTTTATTAACTCTGTGTAAATAATCTATATAGTAAACAAGAGACCACATGCAAAGTGCCTCATGCAGAGACATTCAATATTTGTGAGCTCTCCTCCCTATAGGAGAGACGTGAGGCATTTCTGAAGTTTAATGGTTAATTCATCTCAGATCGTCCAAAGGTGGTGACATATTAGGGTGAAGGGTTCTGGAACTTCCTGGGTTTTTATTCAATGCAGCAAAAATTATTATCATAAAATATCTTGGTTGAAGAGAAAACACTTTTATACAGATCAATATGTCCATTATCTCCATTAAACCAAATGTAACAATTTCATTGACACCATCGTGATAGGACACTTCCGCTGGGCACTGTGAGTTTCATTCCCGCTGTGTGACATCACTTCAGACAACAGTTGCTCACAGGGAAGACTACCGTGTTCTTCTACTTTCCTCTACCACTGTTATTTATGATTTTTTAAAAAAGATTTTAGTTATTTATTTGACAGAGAGATAGAGAACACAAGCAGGAGGAGCAGCAGAGGGAGAGGGAGAAGCAGGCTCCCTGCTCAGCAGGGAGCCTGATGTGGAGCTCGATCCCAGGACCCTGGGATCATGACCTGAGCCGAAGGCAGACGCTTAACTGACTGAGCCACCCAGGCGCCCCTATGATTTTTTTTTTTTTTAAAGTAGACTCCACGCCCAGCATTGAGTCCAGTGTGGGGCTGGAACTCAAGACCCTGAGATCAAGATCTGAGCCAAGATCAAGAGTTGAATGCCTAACCGACTGAGCCACCCAGGCACCCCATCATTTATGATGATTTTAAAGAAACAAATATGTAGTTAATACATTAGGTTAATTCTTCTCGCAGGAAGTAAGCAGTTTTGCATTATGCAAATCCTATTTATCAAATGACTACACTTACGATCCCTCAGTCATTACCCTTGAAGGGGTCATGATTGGAAGGGGGCATTGGTGGGCTCTCTAGGGAGCTGGTAATAGTCTTGCTGGATACACAAGTACATTCACTTTGTGACGATGCATTGAGTTGTGCACTTACAATCTGTATGCTTTCTGTAGGGGTGTTATATTTCACTAAAAGTTTACCCCTTCCCCCCAAATCAGCATCCTTATCATCAGATTTAATTTTAATGGGGATTTCCCACTTTATTTTAAATACTTACATCGAATCCTTTCAGTCCCTTGTCTGTGGGCAAGAGCACAGTGAATGGTCCCAGGTTACTTAGTGGCCGGGCATAGGCTTTGTCTTAGGAATAGAAATACATAAAGAAAGAAAACACCAAATGAATCAGTGGCATGTGAAGAGTAAAATCAAGCAATGGTCCTCGTGGTCCATTTAAGCCCTTTGACTCAAGAGCTCTTCTCTTCTAATTGGTATGTGTGGCCCTTGGTAAACTGGGAAGCTCTAAGAAAGCAAGGCATCATGATGCCATGGCCCCGAAAGCTTCTATATAACTGTGTGGTTTTTCTTGCAGCCACAGCCTTGGCTTCAAGGAGACACTGCGATGAGACCTTCTGTGAGGGTCATGTGACAAAATCCTCAGTCAATCCCAGCAGGTCCCTGACCCGGTGCCTGACTTTCTGAGCTGTTTGACATCGTGGTGAGCAAAGACACAGCCCTGTTCCACCCAGGGCCAGCTCAGAAGAGCCTCATGCTTGGTTTAATACTCTGCTGTGGTCACTTGAAATGTTCATTAATTTTTGAACCAAGGACCCCATCTTGTCATTTTGCATGGTGTCCTGCAAGTTATGTAGCTGGTCCTCTTTCCATCCTCCTGGAGAAGCTGGGAGAGCAGGGAAGGCTCTGGGCTGTCACACAGCAGACAACATGGACCAGCACTTCATAAATGGGTGGAAGGTCGCCGGGACTTTGTCCAGGGAAATGTTCGAGAGCACAGTCTGCAAAGGACACTCTGTCACCCCCATCTGCTGTCATCTGATAGTTTGAGTTGTTAGAGGAAGGCTGTAAGAAGGCAGAAGCATGCCACAAATGCTTGACTCCCTGTAGGATGCCTTGTGCAGGCTGTATGTTAGGATTTATGCCAACAACATGGCATGGACCCATTCTCTGTGCTCTTTCTGGGAAATCATTTTTTGGTGACTGGTAGATACTTGATACTGATATTTTAAGGCTTCTGTTGATTGGTCAAGTCTGTGTTTTACTTTCTGTTGGTCAAATTTGTATCTTATCGAAAGTCTTGTCCAATGCTGCAATCAGCTGTAATATTTCATTCTCAAGGGGGTGCTGGGTAATGACCCCTAGAGGGCTTTTGGAAATGATGAGGGCATTTTAGATTGTCACCCCACCTGAGGGGCTGGGAGAAGAGGTGTCACTACAGACAATTAGTGGTTGGGGGAGGGGCAAAGACAACATTGCTAAACATCCAGCAGTGTGTGAGAAGGTCACACCAACTATTCTCAAAATTCAGTGGCACCCACTGCAGCGCATGGATACAGCCACAGGTTTTAGTCACTCTCTATTCCTAGTAGTATCTGCCAATCTCGCTTCATACCTGGAGGACCTGTAAGGTCAAGGGAAAGGGATAGTCTCTATCCTCACATCAGTAGCTGCCCTGTTTCATTGTTGTTGCAGACCTGTTAATCTATAGTGACCCAGGACCCCGTCCTCAGCATTCTGCCTACTAACTGTTGCATTGCTGGACCGCTTGGCACTAACTCCTTGTCTCCTTGGAAACAGCTGCCTGTTCTTTCCCTCTCACCTGCATGATGCCTCCCTAGAGGACCGATTCCAATAGATTCCTCCCCTGCCCACCCCATTCTGAATGATGGTGTCTTGCAGATGCCTTGCCAGAAAGATGGTTGCCCTTTATGTGGAAACCTGTACCCGTAGCCACGTACCCAGGAGCGAGATGAAGGAGGTCAGCCTTCCTTGCCATTTTCCTCTGGGTTCACTGTTTAATTCTCTGAGTCGCTCCATGATGTTTCCATAACATGTTGAGCCATCACCCACGTAACCTTTCTGGCAAGTGCATCTGCAGGGAGGGTGAAAACATATTCTCAGGGTCTTAGAGCCATTGAGTGTTGAGATCCTACAGTCCAACTCCCTCATTTGAGCACAGAGTAAGGGCAAGGGTCGTGTGCATATTTATGCCCTATGTTAATGTCATGATCTAGCAGAGGGCGTGGTTCAGAGCAGGTACATAATTAACGGTTGAATGGTAAGTGGCAATTGAATTGCAATAAATATATAGATAACGGAATTTGCAGAAATTTTATACAATAGTTTCATAAAAGACTAATAGAGTTAAGGACAAGGTTTAAAGGTGTTCCAGCAGTGGTGTGCTGGTAAATGTTTAATAACCAGCTCTCTGCAGGGAGTAGGGCAGAGCTCTGCTTTTCAGCTTTTGCCAATTTCCATGGGTCATACTCCCACCTTGGCCAATCTTAAACTACCAGCGTGATGTCACCCAGCTTGCAAAATCGTGAAAATTTAACCATCAGCTTTTGTGACTTGGTAAGCCCTGGCTCTAGCAGACCACTGCTACCTAGCAAAGATGAACTGACTGCCAGTTGAAGCCGGGAGGTGCTTTGGAAGGTGCCATTGCACAGGATCCTGGGATAAGTGGAGAACCAAACATGAGGTGGGGGGGGGAGCACTGCAGAGATGAAAGCTGCAGGGAGGCTGTGGCCGTCCATACCACAGACATGACTCATGTTGATGAGAGGCTTCCAAAGGACAGTTATACACTCATGAGTCCAGTTTTTTTTCCAGATATGGTCCCATGGCAAACAGACATATTTTCAACACGTTTGCTGAACAAACATTTCAGAGTTTTATTACCCCCCACCCCGGATTGCTGTGGTGAGACTTCCTAACTGGCCTTTCTGCTCTTACTTTCCTTTCCCTCAAACCGGTTCTTCACACAACCCTCTGAGCGGTCTCTCCAACAGGGAAATCTGGCACCTTTGTGCTTAAAACGACATGGACTCTGTTCACCTACAGAGGAAGTCTGAAGTGCTTAGCATGGCCTGCAAGGCTCCCAAAGGGGGAACTTGCTTACGTCTCGTTCCTGCTGCATGCTGTAAATTCCAGCAGTCCCAAATTGCCTTCTTTTTTAGAGACTAGGATGCCCTTCTCAGGCCATGTGCCCTGCCAGGAATGGTCGCCCAGCCTCAACTCCTGGTTCAGGCATGACCTGCTCTAAGGAGTCTTACCTGGCCTCCTGACTCTCCCTGACAGGAGCAGCCTGTGGGTACCCCCTCCATCACAACCCTCTGCACCAAAATGAGCCCCTGAGGTGTTGTCTCCTCTGCTGGATGGGAAGCTCTCCTAGAACCTACATCCCACTCCTTCCTCATTGTATCCCAGCACTTAGGATGATACCTAATTGTTGAAGTCATTATTTACCAAGTATCTACTTAATTCTAGGAAGCTGGCCAGGGAGGAGGGCTACAGAGGTGATGGTAACAGATATCTTGCCATTTTAGTGTCTCACATGCTGAAGATGGGCCTGGGAACAAACAATTTTGAGCAACATGGTAAGACCACTTGACCTCCTAAAGTCTCAGCTTCCTCATCTGTGAAATGGGTTTATTAATACCTTTAGGGTTGTCGATGGAAGAGACGATGCACGAAGAACAGCTGGTACAGTGACAGACACATAGGAAAAGCTCAGTACTTGGTAGATGGTGAGGACGATGACTAGGATGGTGATGGTGGAGAGGGTGGCGATAGCGCCACCAGTCCTACGGGGGTGGGGGCAGGATAGAGCAGAGCTAGTCCATGACCACGCAGCTGACGTTCCGGAAAGAGCCACGATGGAGGGTTGAATAGGATGCTATGGGGCACAGAGGAGGAAGGGACTAATTAATGGTGCCTGGAGAAATATGGAACGGGTTCCCAGAGAAAATACCACTTAAGAGAATTCTACGATACATATGAGTTTCCTGGCTGGCTGGATGACTGGCAGATCATTTACTGATTGAGACTTCGGAATTTTTTATAGAACAACCAGAGTACCCTGGGGACATTTGAGAATGTCTGGAGATATTTTTGGCTGTCAGAACTAAGGTGAAGGTCCTGCTCGCATCTAGTGGGTGGAGGCCAGGGATGCTGCTGAGCACCCTGCAATGCAGGGGACAGTCCCCATGACCAAGGGTTCTCCAGCCCCAAGTGTCAATAGTGCTGAGCTTGAGAAACCTTGTCATAAGGAATCATTCAGGTAGATCGAACAGTGAATCAAGAGTCTACTTAATACAGTCAAATAACAGTTTCCTATTCAAACACCAACTTCCTCTGCAAGTCCTGTGTTCTAGGACAGTGAATTTGAGAAGCACAGAGTGGGGGGCAGGGCGGATTGGTAACTCTTAGAGAGATACAATAGTCCTTGTTCTAAGTTACATACATTTCATTTGAAGACAGCTGATAACAGCCAGGCAAGTAATTCCTGTGAACCGCTGAGTATGTTTCTCTCTAAAAGTTCCTTAAGTTGTTATGAGGCCAATAGTCTGTTTTGTATAAAGTGACTTGACTTCTCTTGCCTCAGGATGGCAGGAGAATCATATTTTTAATGGAGACGCTGCTGAATGGATTGCGTGGGATATAAATACTTTTTATTGTTGTTTAAAATCTTGGTCCGGTGTCTGAGATTTCATGAGACGGTTTTCTGACAGAAATGCTCTCAGCTGGCCATGGCATATTCACAGCAGGGCCCCCTTCTGTAAATTGCTTCTTTATTAGGAGTGAAGGTCTCTTGCTGTCTTACAGCTCTAAAAATACCCCTAAGCCACTGGCATTTTGTAAGTTATGGGATGGAATTAATTACATAGAGTGCTGGATGAGATTTAGTGCAATTGTAGGGTGTTCCAAAAGGCTTACTACAGTTGCTTCCTTCAATCGTTCACTTGTTCATTTCAGTCCTTCATTGATTCGTTTGTTCCTCCAAAGTGTCACTCATGTCATTTTTGTAATGGGTGGCAGGAGTTGTTGCAATAAATATGAATAAGACATGGACCCCTAAGGCCTTACATTCTAATTGGGAATTGAGATCAGTAATACTAATAGCTAATATCTATTAATAGCTGCTATTCCAGTTACTTGGTAGGGGCCTTACTACGGTGTCTTATTTAATACAACAATCCTATGAGGTGGGTTCTGTTTCTGGCCCCATTTTAGATGAGGAAACAGCGGGACAGAGAGGTTAAGTATCTCATTCAAGATCACACAGCCTGTAGGTGGCAGTGTTTGTGCTCATCACGACTGAACTATGCATGTACTGTGTACAGAAGCATTCCAGGGTGCTCCCGGAGCCCAGTGGGAGCTGAGTGGGCCCAGAGGACAGGGGAGACATCGTAGAGGTGGAGACACTTCAGCTGAACAGTAAAGGATCACTTGATCTTAGCCAAAGGGCTGAGAAGTGATGAACAGTGAAGGATCCATATGCTAGCCTGACTCAGAGGAGGCGAGGGGAGAACGAGGTCTAAGCAGGCGGAATGGCATGTGTGAGTGTGTGGAGCTGGAACATCATGGCATGTTTCAAGAACAGTAGATGGGTGGAACCAGAGCGAAGAGGGTGTTCATGGGAGTGGTGGAAACGATGTTGCTCATCCATACTCTCTGCAAACAACCGTTGGCCATACCCTAGGGAGAATCGTACCAGGAAGAGCTTGTGCCAGTCCCGGAAGCTGGTCTGAAAGCATTTAGGCAGAGGTACCCGAGTATAGTCTATGAGGGGGGCTCAGGCCCTGGGAGAGCATGTCCCCTTGCTCCTTTAGACCTCTTGCCCTGGTGGAGTTGGTGGAGGGCCAGAATGGGGACCTCTAAAATGCAGTGCCCAGGACAGGGCAGGAAGCTATTTGTTCTTCTTAGTAATAATCAACATGGAGCTTATAGCATAAAAGGTTGCTTATAGGCCTCAACTCCACTCTTTCCAAGGAGATACTCTTGGTCTCTAGTGGACTTGTCAGGTGAAGGAAAAGTTACATGGCCTATCCAAGGTCACTCGGTGGTGAGTGAGAGAGCCCACGCTTGAGCCCATTCTTCTTTATTGGGTGGACCTCTGTGACTAACACAGTATGATTTTGAATATTCTGCATAAGCTCCTTGCCATATTGAAGAGGTGTAAACAAAATAAATCTTTATTCAAGGTAAAGTCAATTACCTGCACTAAGTTGGTGATGGGCCTATTATCAGTGTAACGTAACCAGTCTTTAACGTCATCATCTTTCCAGCCTTCCCAGACAGTCCATCTTTGGAGAGGGGGATCAAGTGGTACCCCACTGACATTCTAAACACAAGCTTTAGTGCCACTTACATTATTCTGATGTTCCTTCCAGTTTCATTTTTCATTTTATCCTCTCAAATACAAAGGAGAGAAAGTGTTTAAAGTATTGTACTCAGACTTTCTGAGAGAATGGCGAAACGTGTGTAAGCTGTACACACGTGTGTTGGGTGCAGATGTGCCTATATGCACGGCTGTGGTGTGCTGGTGTGTGCATGCACACGTGTGGAGTGATTTCTGTCTGCCAGGTTCTGCTCATACAGATCTACTTATTTGCCCAGATAAAACATGACAGTCCTGAAGCCTATCTGGGCAAATCCACATATTTGAGGCCCAACTGTAAAAAGAATGAACTTCAAAGAAGATGAAAAGGGGCTCTGCAAGCACAGAAACTGGTTAGTAATTACATGGTTCAATGTCTACTATGGTTTTGAGCTCACAGTGGCCGTGAGTCCTTCACAGATGCTGATGACAATGAGAACAGAAAGTGACACAGAGGTAGAAACCTTGGTCTGGGAGTCAAAGACTGGGGTTCTAGCCTCAGTTCACCCACTAATGGAAACATACTACAGCTCTATAGTAGTTTCTAGAACATTATCTCACATTAATGTTCATAACATAGTGAAGTAGACATCACTGTGCTCATTTCATACACGGAGAAACCAAGGCCAGAGAGATGGTGTCACTTTCCCAAGGTCATTCAGCTGGTAGATACCCGTCCTGAGACTCAGACCCAGGTCTTCCACCCCCAAATACCATCTTCTTACCACCACACAAGCTGCCTTTGCCCCAGGAGTTTTCACACAAATATTTTTACTCTCGGTAAGTCCCTTCTCTTAAAACCTGGAGTCCAGGAAACACCACTGGGGTTTATTCACCTTCCCCGGTCTTGTTTGGCACCACTAGCAAGCAATATTTCACGAATGAGGAAACAGGCACGTACATTCGAGGTCAAATGCCTGTCATCACAGCAGATCTTCGTTTTCCCAGTGACCGTGGTTTCCTTCTCCCACACTCTAACCACTTACTACCGAGTTATCAGGCCATGGCCGTACCTCAGCACGTTCTAATGGTCATTACAAAGGAAACAATTGTTGAATGATTCAGTGATTAAAGAGAGATGTACTGGGTACCTACCATGCTCCTTGCATCCTGCTAGGTGGGGCTGAGGGTACAAGACTGAATAAGACACATTTCCTGCCCTTAGGGGAACTTACAGCATTGACTGGCCACCACTTGGAAAGAAGGTGGTAGAACTGAACAGACTTACTTGGGTTGGCCTGGTGCGATGGTAGTGCAGTTAGCGTTCCTATGGCAGGGGTTACTAGACGCACAGACATCGATCATGCTGCACCCCACTCCAGGGACATAATTGCGGTAATGTTCTTTACACTCACAGTGAGACTTCAGAAGACAAGGAGAGAAAAACGAAGGGCCCTCATTAGTCACAGAAGCTGACATCCTTCTTGAATCCATCTGTATTTTGCCATAAAAACTAACCTGGGGCAGGTCCAAAGTGTGGGCTTCAATTAAAAATTTGTCAAAGGATTCGGAATTGGGAATCATGTCTATGTATTTCACCCTTTGGGAAATTACGCCTTGTTTGTAAAGTTCACCTTTTCGGTTTTCTTGTTTCCTAACCCTAGGCCTTTCTGGCTCCATAATTCCTGGTTTTAGATCGTCTACAGGTGAGCAGAGACTGAAGCTCAGATGGGAGATGTTATTGCTCTAAAAGAGTGGTTTTCAACTGGGAGTCTCAACCTAAGTTATGTTGGGCAATGTCTACAGATTTTTCTGATTGTCACAGCAGGAGAGGAGGGCAGTGTCACCAGAGGCCAGGGATGCTGCTAAACATCCTACAATGCCCTGGACAGCCCCCCCAACCAAGGATTCTCCAGTCCAAAATGCTGGTAATGTCAAAGTTGAGGAACCCTCCTCTGGAATAATGGGAATAATGAATGCCCCGCTTCTGTGTGAATAATGGGGCGTTTCTCCCATTTTTTTTCTGGAGACAAAATTTATTTTTAATCTCACTCCCAAGGTCCGGGACCTTGGCTCAGAGTCTAATGTGGCTTTTCCCATAAGGGCCCTCATTTTGGGGATGGAGGTTCAGCTCCTTGAATTTCTTTCCAAACCTACCTCAGACATTAATAGCAGAATAGTGTGTGATACACATTTTTTCCCCCGGAAGATGAGATTGGGTGGATTCTCTGCAGGGAACTCCCCGAGCATTGCCACGGGGTGATTGGATTGCTGGGGACACGTGACTCTGGTTGGGTCAGGCACTGAAGCCTTTCCTCCTACCAGGGCAACAATATCCTTCTGTACAGAGAGATTTCCTCCACTGAGCTTGATGCACAGTTATGGATGCAGTGGGCACCCACTAAATAGTTGATGGCTGAATGAGGTATTGGTGAAAGGGCTCTTTTAACTGGATTCCTCAGCAAAGGTCTCTGGACCTGGCTGTTTTTTACCCGTCAAGGTCATGATGTGATTTAGAGGGACAGGGTCTCACTCTAGAATAGCCTCACTGCTCCCTACAATCTGTCAGGGCTGCCTGCCATTTTATAAGAGCTCATCTCTTTGGGAGAGAATATTTTTAGTTCTAAGAGTTCTCTTTCACCTTGAAAAGACATAAGAGGGCATAGAGGATTGCAGGTGAAAGTCAATGACCTATTCACCCAAGACTTGGTTAACAGTTAATTTGTTAATCTAATTTGAGTTGTGTATATGTTTTGTCAATTACCCTTGAAGACCAGGACACAAGAGAACATAGGACAGTTAAGTTTTCCCTGGGGGGGGTGCTGGGAAAGTGTGAGTTCAGAGGATGGACTGGGGAGGGGACACATTGAGGTTAGCCCTGAGCTCAGGGAGGTATACCTGGAGAGGCAGCCCAAATTGAGCATTGAAAGGGCAAAGTGGGAGAACCTAGCAGACAAGTGATACCCATGGCACGGTTTTAGCTTTGGTGGGCTGTCCTACTTCTAGACACCCTAGTTCCATGCATCATGTTCTCACCTGTCCGGGCCCATCATATATGCACACTGTAGACTCTGTAGGGCAATTTCCGTAGTGAGTCTGGCAGGGATCTACTGGTAAGCACACTTGGCCATCTCCGTGGTAGCCTTCTTGGCATGTGCAACTGTGCCGATTCGGTCCCAGATACGTGCAATGAGCATGAGGATGGCAGATTGCTTGTAAACATGGATTGATGGCTTGAAAGGCAATGGCAGGGTATGAGCTCATCAAAGTTGCACAGGCAATTTGATAGTTTTAAGAGAGAGAGAGAGTAATAAACAGTTCACCTGATGCCCCCCACCTGTTGAACAGATTTATATATGGCTGTCAGAGATTATAACTACAAATACTGTGTTGATATATTACTATGTCATGTTATGTGTGGATTTAAATATAAAATAGCATGAAAGAAAGTACTCATGCTTGTGGTATTTGTAATAGGTACTGACCCTGTCTAAGCATTTGCCATACATTAACTCAGTTAATCCTTACAACAACTCTGTAAGGAAGGAGCCATTATTATCCCCATTTGATAGGTAGGAAAATGGAGGCACAAGCAAGTTAAAGAATTTGTCCAAGGTCATGGATATACTAATAAGCAGATCTGGGATTTGAATGCTGGCAGTCTGCCTCCAGAGTTCATGTTCATAACCAACACACAACACAATCTCTCACAAGGCGAATGAGCATGGAAAGGAAAGGAAATATAACAGCCAGTGCTCATCATATCATGTGCCCTCTTTAATTCAACTAATGAATCAGTGAACATTATATCAAAAACTAATACCTTGGCTAATTGAATTTAAATAAAAAAAAGGAAAGGAAAGAAAGACAGATTGTATTTTATCCTAACATCAGTGCAGTTGATATAAAACTATGTGTAAAAATCTATTTATGTGCTTTGATAATAGAAGGAGTGAGTGCCATTTATTGAAAAGCTATCATGGATGAGCATGTGCTCTGCACTTGTTATATATTTCATTCAACTTAACACAGAGATAAATTGAGGTGCCATTGTGTTAATATGAGAGAGGTTGTGAGGTTTTGTTTTTTCTGTTGAGTAACTTAAACGTCTCAATTAATGAGCTAGCAGGATCTAAATTCGACTCACGCTCACAGTAGTGGCCATCGCCTTGGTAATTGGGAAGGCATTTGCATTCCAGTTTCGTTTCATCTTGGCTGGAAGGTGAGCATCTGGAATTTTCGGGGCAGAGCAAGGCTGCACATTCAGGGATGGCTGCAAAGCAAGATTGTTGAGATACTCACATTAGTAGAATAACTGATTCTAAAAAATTCAACCAATGCAGTGTTCTTTGTGATTAAAAAATGTAATTAAAAAAGACTCACTGTGACAATTCAAAAAACAAAGAATGTATAAAGTAAAAATGAACCATTTTCTGATTCTCGTTCTTCCATTTCACTCCCAAAGTAAATAATATCAATAGTCAATATACTACATTCACTTATAAATTTATTTAGGTGATTTTTTTAAACAAAATAGAATCCTGTGAAGATATTTAGCAACTTGATTTTTAATTTAACAGTATATTATGGAGGTTTTTAAAGATCTATTTTAATCTTTTTTTTTAAAAAGATTTTATTTATTTATTTGACAGAGAGAGACACAGCGAGAGAGGGAACACAAGCAGGGAGAGTGGGAGAGGGAGAAGCAGGCTTCCCGCGGAGCAGGGAGCTGGACGTGGGGCTTGATCCCAGGACCCTGGGATCATGACCTGAGCCGAAGGCAGATGCTTAACGAATGAGCCATCCAGGCGCCCCTATTTTAATCTCTAATAACTGTGTATACTTCATCATCTAGGGGGGCACAGTTGGTTGTCAAAAACTACAAGGAATCTGACATATTATCCAATGTGCAAAGCTAAGAAGTTGGGCTAATACAGTTCCGAGGACGCCGGTAGAAGCTATGAGACTCCTGGGTCAGAGGTGAAGGACAGTTTATGACTCACATCAAGAGTAGTGGCCAGAGTGGTGGCATTTTTGCACCAGTTCTTCCAAGCCCCAAGTCCTCTGGGGCAATGCAGAGAGGGGCTGCCATGGATTCCATTACAGGGGAGGAGCCCCAATCTTAGGGAACCTAAGTTTTTGTTTTTTTGTTTTTTTAAATAATAGGCAATGTATTATTTAGGGCCCAGGCAAGAGACAAAACCACACAATTTTTTAAAATTAAATTAAATTAAATTAAATTTTATTTTATTATGTTATGTTAATCACCATACATTACATCATTAGTTCTTGATGTAGTGTTCCATGATTCATTGTGCATAACACCCAGTGCTCCACGCAGTATGTGCCCTCTTTAATACCCATCACCAGGCTAACCCATCTCCCCCCCCCTCCCCTCTAGAACCCTCAGTTTGTTTCTCAGAGTCCATCGTCTCTCATGGTTCGTCTCCCCCTCCAATTTCCCCCCTTTCATTTTTCCCTTCCTACTGTCTTCTTTTTTTTAACATACACAATTATTTGATCAGGGAATGTTTTAGTGTAAAGAATTATCGGCAGAAAACTCATGAGAGTTAAAAAGAATTCTAAAGAAGGTCATCCACAAGGAGATGCCAAGCCTGAGGGTTCATATGGTGCCCGGGGAAGCTGCTTGCCACTGGGTGCTACCAGAACTGGAAGCTGAGAAGCTACCCCCTCGGAAGGGTAGTATACTTCTGTGTGTGGCTGGGACCAGGGCGCCTGTAGGGGCCAGCCGTGTGGGAGAGAGGGGGGCATGGCTGGCTCTCCAGATGGCCAACCCTGCAGGGCCCTTAGTGAGCATGGCCCAGAGGAGAAGGCATACTGAACAGCAAGCACATCTCTGTGTGGTAGGACACAGGTCTGTGGAGTCTGGGGCTCCTGGCTATGCTGCCGCCACTTGAGTCAAGCATTAGACAAGGTACACAGTAGGCAAACACTGGAGGAAGCTGAGCCCTGCAGGGACTTAGCACTGGAGAAGCTGTGGAGGGCTGAGCAGTGGAGAAAACCCAAGTTCTTTGGGGCCCTGGTGAGTGGGTGAAAGCAGAAACAGGAAGAGAAAACCCTTCCTTCTTCAGTGTCCCTCCAGCACCCTCTATTCATAAGATTTTACATCTTGCTGGCTGGCAAATGAGAAATATTTACAAATTCCTCTCCATTATCACGGAACAGGCAAAAAAGATGAATTTTGAGCTGAAAGGTAATCCACTGATAAACAGGCAGTACGCATGCCTACACTTGGCTCCCAAGGGAGACCCTACATCTTCCAAGGCTGTTTGCAATATAAACATCCTTGAAAAGATGTTGGAACAAAGAGCAGTCAGTGTGCTGCGCTCAAGAAGCATACAAATATGAGATACTCATGGAAATTGTCCCCAACAGTGGCTAGTTCAACCAAATGGAGAGAACAACCCCCCAACTCTTGCCGTAAAGTAGAATCATTGCCAGAAAGTGGCCGCCCTTTCAAGGATGTCACTTCCAGCCCCTCTTTGCCTCTCGGTGGGGTCATGTGACGGTTTTACACCAGTGGAATATTGAGAGGGAGTTGGGTGTGTCGTTCTGGATTTCATAAGCAGGGGCTTCTCCATCCTCTCTTCTTCCTTCCATGGCTCAAAGCAGAGCATCCCGAGGTGCTACAGAATGGCAGAGGCACAAAGTGGAAAGATCTGCATCCCTAATCACCATGTGGTGGGAAGCTGGTGTCAACCATGAACACCCATACAGGACTGTACATGAGTAAGAATTACACCTCTGTTATGTTAAGCTAGAGGTTCCCCAAATTCTCGGGTTATGGTGTTTAGTGTCTTAATGTTTTCGTGGTGCCCCGGCCTACAAGAAATATCCACCAGGTCCATTTATTAAGTTGTTAGCACCAAGGAATTCAGTAAGTGTGTCATGAGACCTCAGTAACAATTTGAAAAAGTAATGTGGTTGGTATAAAGAGAAATATTTTTACTTCATTCTTAAATAACCATATTTACTTATAAGTGGAATGTGTGAGCTTTTTGGACAATCCTCAACGTCTTAAACCTTGGAATCAGATTGGAGACTCCCTCCCTCATTCCATTCGAAAGGATTTTTGCGTGATTACTTGCTTTTTATCTTAGCAACCACTGAAAACACAGCTTTGTAAGGATGATATCGTTGAAAGGGATCTAGTGCTACCTAATGTTGAAATTGGGAACTAACTCAAGCTAGCAATTTGTGTGGTATTCTATGGATGCATCACTGTCTCCCTCAAAAGTTTAAAATATCCCATAACACCCTTGTGAGTTTGGTGTGGTAGCTTGGGATGCTTGGTACAGTTTTGGAATCTTAGTGTTAAGCCGTTGGATTTTTGTGTTTGGTTCTTGCAGCGGCTGGTGTTATCCTCATGGGAGTAGGGTGTGCCACAATTCATTCAACCATTTCCTACTGATGGACATTCAAGTTGTGTTTAGCTCGTGTTGTTCTTACAAATTATACTGTCATGAATTTCTTTGTACATATATTTTTACCTACTGGTGCCTGCCTCCCTTTTACTCCAGGTAAATATCTAGAATGGGGGCTATGGCAGAAACTGTAAGCACACTTTAAAAAATTTAAAAGCTAAATTTCCCTCATAGGTTGTAGCAATTCATCTCCCCATTGACTGTACTGTAATTTTTCTCTTACCCACAGGTAAGTATTATCTATCTTTGCAATCTGTGTAACATAGCAAAAAACAAACCCCAAACCAAACCAAAACCAAACCTCCAAACCCTTAAAGTATCACTTCGTTATAGTTTTAAATTAACCTGTGATTCATTGGCATTTCTGCATGGGTTAAGCAGGTAGCTTGTTGGCTAGTTTTTATTTCTTCTCCTGAGAAGTAGCTGCTCTTCAGCAAATTTTAAAATTGGGTTCATATTATTATGAAAACTTTTCTGCCATGTGGGTTACAAATACTTTGTGCCAGTATATTGTTTATCTTTTGACTCAGCAGAGTTATTTTGTAACTTGGAGGCAAATCTGTCCGTGTTCTCCATTAGGCTGGCTTCTAGGCTGGGTATGCTGTCTTATTAAAAAGGTCTTTGCTCATGAGTCTGCTGGGCAATGACCGGAGTGGCCAGGGAAGAAGGCTGCCTGAGGTCTACAGAAGGGTTATCCTCTCCACCTGAGTTTCATTCTGCTGTTGATTTGAATCAGTCATTTGCATGCCTGTCTCCTCCACAGGAAGAAGGCTGTGTTTTATTCATCCTCCTTACTGCGCATAGCCCTACAGTGACTTTCCATTAAATGAGTTTGAATTTGTTGAATTTGAATCTTGTCCAGTCCCTTCATTTTACAGATCAGAAGAGTAAAATCCAGAGGATAAGTTAAGTGAGGCTAGTGTCACAGGAAGAACGTCCAGTTTCTTAATGGCTAAGCTCCAAATTCACCCTTCATTACCTGCTCTTTGATAATGGACTGGATTCTATTTCTCCTTTACAGTAATATATGAAGCTTGGTCGGTAGGGGGGTCTGGGGGGCCACTGCAGGAGAAAGGGGCTCCTCTCATTGCTTCCTTTATGCAGTGTTGTGTTTCTGCTGTGTTTGCTTGCCGCCTCTGTACAGTGTGTCAGTGGGGCGGGTATGTGAGGACACTCAGTGATGCTCTGCTTCAGCCATCACTCAGAGTGCACAGTCTATTTGTGACCTTGCATGCTCAGCCGGTACCCAGTGACCACCTTCCCACAGCCCTTTCCACACACAGATGTTGCACACTCCAAGTTTGGCACCCCCAGCTCCCTCTGTGTGCTTGCTCACCCCCAGCCTTGGCTTATCCGCGCCCTGGAGCATTATTGCCTGCCTGCCGGATGAGTGTGGTCCCATGCTGGCTTGGGCAAACCAGCAAACTTCTCCTCTACCCAGGGGCCTGCCACCATCCTTTCTCCAACAAGGTTTGAACTCAGCCTTGGGGATGGTCGCCCCTATCCGAGTCTCCTCTGTTACGCTCCAGCAGCCCTAGAGTTCACTTTGTGCTTTTATAGCCACTCTCCTATCATAGCTCACTAATTCTATTAAATTTCCCTTGTTTCAATCACCCTGTGGTTCCTATCTTATGCTTGGACCCAGTGTGATAGAGTATTTCAAGAATTTCAAATGATTTGAGTTCCAGCTCTTCTATTTGGTAGTTTTGTGACCTCTGGTGAATCGCTTAGCCTTAGTGAACCTCCATGTCCTGTGCATGTGTTCTGTCCTTGAGACATGAACTTGAGAACATGCCTTGCCCCCCTTCCTGGGTGGCTGACTTGTTGCCATGGCCTCAGCTGGTTTTCCAGCTTTCTCTATTCTATCCTTCGCACCGCCACCAGCTTGACCTTCCTAAATCATAGCTGTGTCGGTACATTGCTCCCAAGTCTCCCATGACTTCCTCTTCTATGCCATCTCTTCCCTCCCTTCTACTCCCCTCCCATCATCTTCTTTCCTTTTTCACCCTTTTTAATTCTTGGTTTTCTCCCAGGAAAACATCTGATGTTGCCTCACCCATGCAGAGCCTCGGCATGTGAACACAAAGTTGAAAGGCATCCATCTGTGCCTGTCTGGTCTGGTGGGACATTAAGGAAGCGGCAGGACTTACGCTTGTCACAGCTGGGGCCAGTGTACGCAGAGTAGCACTCACAGCTTCCATCACCGTCTATCCCACTGTTGCACACTCCGTGCACACAGCTGCACACTGCAGACAGAAAACGGGGATTTTTTTCGTTACCTGATACAGACATCTGAAGATTCTGGAAGAGTAATGCTTTGAGATAGTTTTTGTTGAGAATCTGCATGAGGAGATGGGAGGAACCAAGGGTTTGAAGTCCTAGAGACCCTGGTTTGGATCTTGGCTTCATTTTCCTTTTATTAGCTCCAATTTATTTATGTATAACATGAGGATAGTGATACCTACCTCCTGGGATTTCTGCAGCTGGATGAGATAATGTATTGGTGCCTTGGAGTGCACTGGAGTGCTTTTCTCTACTCTTAAACTAGTTACTTCATCTTTGAATGCCTCAAGAAGAGAATTAACTTAATGTTTTTTATACACCTGTCATGTTTAACAGAGAAAAGCCACCACTGACTCAATCACTGTTGGTGGTGGAAATCTACTGTCTGTTGGGATAAATCCTACCTCCTGAATGATGTGGACCTTCAAGTATAAAAAAGAAATTTGAAAGAGCAGAGAATAACTATGCCATGTCTTTTAGCTTGAAATAGATATCTTTTAAGCCCACTGAGAGGTCATTTCAGGAATGACAAGTGAAGGGCACTTGAAATAAATGGTCAATTCTTTAGCACTCGGTCTGCAGCTCACTTGTAGCAAGATTTATGATCTGGAGGGGTCACCAGCACCCTCGGCCCAGCCCTCTGTGTGACATATTGTATTGGTTTCCTTTTCCTGCTGTAACAAGTTACCACGACTTAATTGTGACTTAAAACAACACAAATTTATTATCTTAATTTAATTACCTTAATTCTCCTTTGCCATGTAGCCTAGCATATTTACAAGTTCCAGAGCTGAGGATATGGACTTCTTTGCAGGGACATTCTTCTGCCTACCACACATGTGTTCAGTGCATGTAAGCCAATTTAATATTAACTCAAGTGAAACATAATTAAGAAGATCCACTTGCTTAAAAACCTAACCAAATATTGGAAAAGCAAGGATTAAGAAAGTATTTCAAACATTTAGTAAGACATCAAATCCTTTGAATTCTTTGTTATATGTCCCAACTCGATCCCCAACTCATATCCATCGGAACTGCTCTCCAGGTGCCTGTCATGCTTTGCCTGGACCGTTGCAGTAGCATTTCATCTGGCCTTGCTGTCCAAGTTCTCACCTCTCTGTTCCATCCATTTCGTTTGACCAGTAATGGCAGGTGATCTTCTTCAAAATATCTCAGGGACCACCAATTGCTGACCAAATGAAATCCAAATCCCTCTCCTTGGCAAACAAGGCTCTATCCAGTCTGATTCCAACCTTTTTACTTTTCATTTTCCACTGCTTCATTTTATACATCTTAGGTTCTAAGCACAAGGGATGACTCATTAGTTTACCTTCCTTCCTTCCAAATACGTATTGAACATCTCTCATGTTCAGGGTGCTGTGCTTGGGATTAATGACCTAAAGAGAAATAAGACAAAGTCTGTGTCCTCTATGTCTAATGGTACAAAAAAGCAGCTCATCACAATGCAGTGTGATAGATCAATGGTGAATGGGAGCTGGCCAGGAATAGTTGGGTGGGCTGGCCTAGGAGAGACCCGCCTCCTGCATTGCACACTTCCATGCTTGGAATCCCTTGGGAGGCCTCCCCCCTCCCTGTATTTCCCTACAACATCCTTTTTGTTGCCTTATCGCAATACCCATAACAGCACAACTACATTATCAATCAGACAGCATCCTGCAGGGCCAGGATTAAGGTGAGAAGGGGGAGGCAGGATATAGGGAGAGGAGGGGGAGGCAGGGCAGGGGGTGGACAGAATGAGGCAAGGTAGATCCAGGGCAGAATTGGATCCTGCCTTTCTTTGATATTTGGATGTTTTGCTCAAGAATTTAAAAATATGATTGTAATGGGTTGAATTTTGTCCCTCAGAAAGATACCTTGAAGTGCTACCTCTTCATCCCTCAGAGTCACCTTATTTGGAAACAGAGGCATTGCAGATGTAATTAGTTAAGTTGAGGTCCTACTGGGGCCTTTGCCCAATATGACGGGTCATTCTAAGAAGAGGTGAGGACACAGACATGAGGACACCATGCACAGATTACAGTGGCGCTGTCTCAAGCCCCGGAAAGCCTGCCCGACCAGAAGCTTCGAGGGGATGGAAGGGCCCTCCCCCAGAGCACTCGAAAGGAGCATGGCCCTGCCCACATGTTGATTTTGGATTTCTAGCTTCCAGAACTGAGACCCTAAATTCTTGTTTTTGAAGCCACCTGTTTGTGGCCCTTTGTTGCAAGGGTCTTCGCTAAGAAATGAAATGACTTACCTTGATTACTGAGTTTTTGATGCCTCCTTCAATTCGGTGCCCAAGGCATGTCCCTCCCTCACCTCATCCTAGCATCGGCCCTGCACTTCCCTTTATTGAGCACTTACTATCCATCAGGCATTTTGCCACACGCTTTACACACATCATCTCCTCTGATGCTCACTGCACTCTGTGCAGTAGAGCTCATGAACCTTGTGTTACCTATGAAACGTGGGAGACATCCAGCTCAAGTATTCATACAGATGATGTGAAAATGTAAATTGGACTTGCACTTGTCATCCTCACTTCCAAAACGGACTTGCCATTCTTTCTAGTTTAACAGAGCACTTTGATGTTCACCTATGGCTGTAGCTGTTGGAACGGGAGCTCCAGAGAGAAGTCAGATTGGTCATAGAGGTAACTGGGGTGCGGAGGGAGGTGTATTATGTTTCATTAGAGAAGGGTCAATTCAATTCAATTAAAAAAATATCTATCCAGTTCCTACCTAGTGGCAGTCACTGTAGGAGGCACTGGGTATACAAATATGAGTAGTTCACAATACCTAAATTCAAGGACTCACAGTGTAGTGGGGAGCTGGACTCAGAGGTTCAAGGTCCTAAGTGTCATGTAGCCAATGGAAGAGGGCGAGGAGGCAGAAGAGGGAATTGAATGTGACTCAGCCCTGGCTCCCAACTTCAATGCTAACTGTAAGAGCTGTCCTTGCCATTAAACTTCCCTCTAGGCTGTGTGGTATAAGCCTCTCCCTGTGTCCTGTGTTTTGGTACGGCCACTGTACTGGATTCACTGACCTGGCACGGACAGCCTTCGGGAACCCCTGATACCTATTGCAGGGTCACCAGCCACGGCCGAGAAAGTGCCCTTGGGAAGGAGAAATGAGTTGCGGAGGGATTCTGAGATGTCTTTTAAGAAGCCCTTGGACTTTGTTGAACTGGTGTCAGCAAATCTCTAGAGACACAAAAAAAACTTGGGGGTGTGTGACTTTAAAGAGTTCAAAGCCATGGTCATTTGGGTCAGAGGGACAGTGCCGAAGCCCCCAGTGCTATGCCCCTTGGCAGAGGGAGCTTCTCCCTCTCCTGTTCCCATAGCATCCTGTGTGTGCTGTGCACCCTGGATCGTAATTGTCACTTGCATTTCCAGCTCCTTGGGGAACTAATCTGTTTCCTTTTTAGCATCCTATCATTTGTCAGGGGTCTAATGTATGGTGGATGCTCATCAGGGACAGAACAGTGCAGTGTTCGGGTGCCCAGGCTCTGGAGTCAGATATTTGGAGTCACATTCTGCTTCTATCCCCAAAATAACTGCCTGACCTTGAGAAACCTCTCTGCTTCTTTATCCATAACATGTGGAACCCAGCTTGCAGAGTTGTGAGGATCCAAAGAGATCATGCCCGTCAAACTTTGCACACTGCTTGGTGCACAGCAGGTGCTCAGCAAATGCTAGTTACTGTTATTAATGAGACACAATTGTGGGATTGATTTGAGAGTCATGTCAGAGACAGTGGGCCTTGCATTCTGCCCTAACCAGGAATGAGGCACGGAGCAGGCAAGGGCATTGGCAGCAGAGATGAAAGCCCTTGGCCGATGCAACTCTAAATCATTTCTAAACTAATCAACAGCAGGGTAGGAGAATGCTCTGGCAGCAGGTTAAAGTCCGTGTTAAAAATAAACTGCAGCTAATAGAGCTGTCCTACTTACGGGCAGAATTGCCACCTTCGTGGGACCGATGCCTCACTGGATGAAACCACACTGGCACCCAGTGGAGGCCCAGCTGAAAAAGATCGCAAGTTTCTCTCATCTTTGCTAATGGAAAAGACCAGCCATCACTGAGCCAGCCAGCCAGCCAGCCAGCCAGTCAGCCATCCATCCACCATCCATCCACCATCCATCCATCCATCCATCCATCCACCCAACCATCCATCCATCCATGCATGGCTTGCTTACCATTGGACTGTTTGTCCTCACTGACTATATGCTTCCATCGAGCGAGTGCTTGTGACCTGCTGCTCAGAGCTTTGCTACAATGTCAATCCCACAGGCAGGTATTATTATTCCTGTTTTATAGATGGGAGGGTTTAGAGAGGCTGAATAACTTGCCTCAGGTCACACAGCAAGTGGGATTGGTTACATACTCAGGCCAGTCTGACTTCAAAGCCTGCTCTCCTAACCATTATGTTCTAGAGCTGTGCTCTCCAATATGGAGGAAACTAGCCACCGTGCGGCTATTTAAATTTAAGTTAAGTGACATGAACTAAGATTTAAAGTTCAGTTCTTCAGTTGCACTAGCTGTATTTCAGGTGCTCAGTGGCCACATGTGTCCCGCCACTGAGCACTAGGCTTCTGCTTGGATGGTACAGATTCAGGACATTCCATCATCTCCTGAAGTTCTATTGATTGGAAACTAGAGCTTGGAGTTTTCTCTCCTGAGTCTTAGTTTAGGTTTCTTACTCAAAAATTTAGGTTTCTAATCCACCTTTCTCCCTTTCACTTGCCCTTCCTCCATGGCACAAACAAGTGTGAAGGGAGGATACTTTCTCTATTTAGAAATGTTTAGAGTCTCCTTGTATATATGTGCTTATCACCAACTGGCACCAATTTCTTGGAGGCAACATGGATTCATCTTCTTTCCAAATTTTCATCCCCCAACTGTACTTGGCTTTCTTGGTCAGTAAACAGTGTTGGATGCTGTCCTTTTTTCCTTTCTATTTCAATATTTATTTAAAATATGTGATTCAGGTGCTAGGATTATGGTAGGAAAGGGCCAATTTGGGAGACATGTCCTTTAATGTAACATACAATGTTAAAAACACACTGAATACCAACACCTGTTTTCAATTTGTTTTTGCCAACACCCTTATGAAATCATCTTCCATGGAGTGGTGGATGAACAAAAACATAAAATTGGGGGCCACTAGGGAATCCTAGGTACTGCTACTAATAATTGCTAACATTTATTGTGCACTGATGATCTCACTAAATCCTCATAATAACACTAAGGGAGACAATATTGTTTCTATTTTTACAGATGAAGACAAGACAGAGCATGTGCTGGGTAAACTGAAGGTTCCTAAGGCTGAAGCCCAGTCTGAGCGTAAGCCAAAGCTCTAATTCTCTGCACATGGTGCCTCTCAAAATCAAGCTTGTGGGTCAGGACAACATGGCTGGAGTGAATTCGATCATTTGTTCCTACATTCATTCATACACTCATTCACTCACTCACTTATTCATCCAGCCAACAGAAGTGTAGTGTGTGTCTCGCATGCAGGCAGCACTGTGGGAGGTACTGGGGAGAAAGACATGTCAGTACCTGCTTTCAAGGAACCATGGATTAGGAGACAATGTCTCTGCTGTTGTAGGTCAAAGTTATTACAGAGTCTGCAAATTTATGGGGGTGAGATGTCAATGTATGGGCATAGGTTTTAATGCAAAAAATATCTGAATCAAAGCAGGGTCTACCAAATTTGACTTTTCCATAAAAGCCAGAACTAAGGTAGTGTTGGAGAAAGGTCACCTGACATATCCTTTGTGGGAGACTGTGAATCTGGCAGACACTGCCCCTACCCCCCACATGTTCTAGACCTTACAATTCCCTGCCTTCCAGCCAACTTCCAGTATCCTGTGAGTCCTTCCTAGGAAGGCTGCTCTGCCCGAGTGCTCACTGGCGGCTGGAATCAGCTCATTGTCTTTTCTGGCTTCTAGAGGCTGCCCACATTTCTTGGTTTGTGGCCCCCTTCATTTTCAAAGCCAGCAAAGGCTGGGAGATTCTTCCTCACATCTCATCACTCTGACACGGTATCTTCTGCATTCCTCCTCCACATTTAAGGACCTTTGGGTACAGTAGGCCCACCCCGATAATCCAGGATAATATCTTTATTTTAAGGCCAGATGATTATCAACCTGAATTCCATCTGCAACCTGAATTCTCCTTGCCATATAAGGTAATATATTCCTAGGTACAAGGGATTAGGATGTGGACATTTTGGGGAGGTCCTTACTCTGCCTACCAAACTGTGGTTCCCGCTCCCATCTGCTGGGATGACTCCAGGAGGAATGTTCTACAGTTCTACAGTAATGCCCAGTTCCCCAGGGCATTAAGCTCTAATTATCTACACTGGTCTCTGGCTTGATAACACACCCTTTATTTTCCCTATGTCATTTTCTTAGTGTTTCTGGGGTTACCTGCCAAATATGCTACCCATACTGAAATCCTTGTTTCACGGTCTGCTTCTGGGGGGAGCCAAGAGAATGGACAAGCCGGTGTCAATTTGTTTGTTTGTTTAATCTGCAAAATGGAGCCAACAATCCCTGATCCGCTCGGGTATTTGAGAACTCCCGAAAGGAAGGAACAGAACGTGGTTGGACCTATCATGGACGAAGAGGCCCCTGGGAAGGAGGTCTATGCTGAGACCAGGGCCCAGAAAGACCTCAAGGGCAAACAACAGGTGGATATTGGATCCTGGAGCCTGGAGAGAGGGAAGCGTATGCTGCCATGTTTGCCAGAAAGCATTACTGGTGAGCAGCTGACTGCGGGTGCTGGAAACCACAGAGAACACTGTCTGTTTTTCGAAAGACTACATTTGTTGTCAACTCTTTGCTTTGCCTGTGTAGACTTAGTTCTGTGTAACTCTTCGGTGTTTCCCCTGCAAGGAATAGCCTTTCTGGCGTCTCCAGCTGCCTAAGCCAGGTTTTACTTTCAGCCCTTAACAAATGCATCTGATTACACAACAATCAGACATACCTGCTGAACAGCTGGGCCCGAACAAGTTGTCATCAGCACAGGTTTCGCAAGCTGTTCCCCCAAACCCATCCTGTAGAAAACCAAGTAAATGGCATGAGACCCAAGTGGTCGCCGTTCCAGGAAGCCCTGGGATTTCTAAGTGATGGTCTGGTCAGCATTTGTTTCTCAACTGTATCTTCCTTCTGTCCTTTCCTGAAGTTCCTTCTTCCTACTTCTGCCTTTGTACTTGGCTGTTTTTGTGTTACAATGCATACATTAACCCTACGTCATTTTCCACCAAGAGTCTGGAGCTCCTCTGAAGGGGGCTGCTTTGTCAGTCCAAAGATACAAAGAGAGGGCAAGTGCTAACAGTCACATGTAATTTCACTCAGGAGTAAAATGAACACTCTTTCAGTTTTGCATTTCTGAAGACAATTGAGCTCCATCCCTTTCAGAAGGATTTCTTTGTATTTAAATTATCGAAGGTTTGAAGCTCACAAAAAGTCACTTTCATGGGATAACAATAGACGTTCTTCACTTGGCAGACCCAGTGACCACAGAGTAGTCTGCTCATGGTAGTGATTCTGAACAGGAAAAAAACCCAGTAATTTCTACAGCCCTGTAGAGTTTCACGAAATAGTTTCACATATATGAGCTCATTGCACTATTTCAACAAATGTAATGACACAGGTTTTTTTTTTTTTTTTAATCAAACCCATTTTACAGAAGGATGTACTCAAGGCTGAGCGGGGAACTGATTCTCTCAGAGGTCTCCAGCCCCTAAGAGGTCATTTTGTCGCAGATCGTATACTCTTTTTACTAATAGTGCTACTTCTTAGAGATTCCACCTAGTGTATATGTGTTTAAGTAGGGACGACAGGAACGGAGAGGGGGAAGGAGAACATGTCTCTGAGCTTACCTGGCAGGAGCAACTTCCGTTTCCTTCCATGCCTTCTGCACAAGTGCCCCTACCGCTGCAGGGCAAGCTCGCGCCTCCCGGACACTCTAGGGAATCAGAGGGCTCAGATTCATTCATTCATGCCTGCACACAGCATTTTGCAAGGATGCACTGAGTATCTCCTATGGGCCAGGTAGTGTGCTAGCTGCCAGGGATAAGAAATGATTAAAGACCCTGCCGACGTCACCCAGGGTTACATGGGGAAGGCGAGTGAATCACAGTATAGTCAGGTGCTGTCCTAGAAGGCTTTGGACTGTCTACCATTTCTTGAGCATTTGCTATACTTTACACTTTTTAATTTTTATACTTTATATTTTTCTAATTAAGTTTTTCCCACTGAAATCCTGAGATGTTATGGGTGCTGGTTAGCAGATGAAGAGACTGAAGTTCAGAGAGGCCATGTAACTTGCCCAAGGTTTCACACTTTATAATTTGCAAAGCTGGGACTTTAGTTCATCTCTCGGCATTACTCTATAGCTGGGCTTCTTCCACAGTGCTGTGGAACAAAATGCTCCAGGGAGCCCAGAGAAGGGAGCTATTGAAGTGCCTTGAGAAGTCTGGGAGATATCCTGAGGAGGAGTCATTCAAGCTGGGGTTTTAAAGGCTTGGTAGGAGAGTTTGTTTGTGTGAATGAGGCAGGATCAAATATTATCCCAAATTAAAGTTAGCAAGACAAATGCCTTCCACAAAATAGCTAATGATATGGAATTCTAGATAATAATAAAGGATGCACGCATATACTACTCAATGCAAGTCCCTGAAGTTAAGGCCTATTTTTAGCCCTATTTTCTAGATAAGGAAATGGAGGCACAGAGTAGTAGAGTGACTTGCCCAAAGCCATCCAGCTGGCCCCGGGTAATGAGGGACTCCCTCCTCCTCTACCAGAAGTGTCCACTCGTCGGACCTCCCTCCTCTCCTACCCCCATCGACAAAGCTCCCCTGTGCCATATATCTTCCAAGAAATCAGCACCCATAGAAAATGAAAAACAGTTCTTGGAAAAAGAGATTTTTAATCACAGAGAGAACCAGTTCTCCTGAAGAGACCCTGATGGCTCATTTGAGTTACTAGGCTAGTTCTTTAAAAGAACATTTATAACTTGCAGGTACGGGGAGGTGAGAGAGTCAAGTTCCACACCTGTGGATGGAATTCTCTCTGGTTCCCCTCTTCCCTGCAGGCAGAATGTTGATAACTTACAGAGTCTAGATGACACATTTTGAGTCTGTGGTCTTCCATCCCACGACAATGTCGGAGCCAGGGTTCAAACCCTGGCAGGTGCTCCAGAGTCTACCACACTTAAACACTGTTCATTGCTATGCTATATACTCATCAAGCACTGCTGTAGCCCAGAGTCACAGCATAGATAACAGAAATGTTTATGAAGGAAGCAAAGGAGAAGACACACTGACATGTAGCTAATATTTATAAATCACCTTGAAAACCAATATGTTAGTCTGGGCCGCTCTCACCAGCTGGGGCACTGGCTACGTGAGACGCAATAGTGTCTGAAAGAGTTCAGACTCCGCAATCAGCATCTCCTGGGTTTGAGCCCCAGTACAACTCTTTGCTATCTGTCCCCTCTTGGGAAAATCAATGCAAGGCTCTGAGATTCCATTCAAGTGTCTTCCTTGCAGGTTGCAGTAGGGGCTGGAAATATTAGGTGCTCAATCAATGGTTGTTATTATTTAGGGTGGATACCCCTCATCCTCTCCAGTTTCTGTTCTTTCAGATTGTGCTATAATAGGTAACAATACTCAGGAAATACATTATTAGGCATCTGTTTGAATCAGGACTCTGGAAGGTCCTGGGTGTACAAAGTGAGCACATAGACCCGGTTCCCTATTTCCATGGTCCTACCAGTCTAGTGGGGAGAAAGTCATAGATTGACAATCAGATAAATACTGGTTTGCAAACTGGGATGAGGGTAACGGGAGAAGAGCTTTCCTCAGTCCACTTACTGGAAGTTACTAACATTGACCCCAAACAACCTAACCCTCAATGGCCCAGTTGACTTAGATCTGATCTCAATAGGGGGCAACAGCCGGATCATTAAAGAAGGGCCTTGTTAAAGATTGTAGTCTTTATCCTAAAAAGAGCAGCAGGACGTGGGGATGAAGAGGAGAGAGAGGGCCCTAATCAAGCAGGTAGGAGGTACACACTTTGAAGTTCATCTGAAACCCAACTGAAACACTTGCATTAACAATGCTGAGCAAGGGGTGCTAATGAGAGCTTTTCCATAGATTGTCGACTATCCAATGGCTCTTCTTCTATTTCCTTTTGCTAGGAGGCCCTTCTTGGGCTGAGATGGTATTTTGGGAACCAGGCTCACCTCTGGGCAGAGCCAGGAAGATAGAGGGGTGACAGCTCTGCCACAGTTTCCCTCTCTTGGTCCCTGTGTCTCTCTATATGACTAGGCAAGCAAGGTGCTCTCTGAGGGACTGGTAGCTTGCCTTGTGGGCTGGCTCAGAAGAACACAGGGCCTCCCCAGCCCTGGGACTCAGCAGTCAGCGCCACCTTGCAGAAATGCTCTCCCAGGCATTTTTTTTTTTTAAGATTTTATTTATTTATTTGAGAGAGAGAGAATGAGAGATAGAGAGCATGAGAGGGAAGAGGGTCAGAGGGAGAAGCAGACTCCCCGCCGAGCAGGGAGCCCGATGTGGGACTCGATCCTGGGACTCCAGGATCATGACCTGAGCCGAAGGCAGTTGCTTAACCAACTGAGCCACCCAGGCGCCCTCTCCCAGGCATTTTTATTCTGCAGGCAATGATGCCAGAATCCCAGTCTCCCATACTCGCATTCTCCTCGGTAGCTTGCTCCCTGCATTGGACCACCAACTTCTCTCCCATCTCCCATTTCTTTTGTCCGTCCCGCTGCCCAGACGTACGCTTCCCTCCACATCTTGCTTGTACCTTTCCCGCCATTCAAACATGCTCTCCCAGACCCTCCTCTGAGGCAGATATGACTATTCCGTCCTCTGGGTGTCCCTTCTGCCTGGCCTTTGCCTCGTGATAACATATAGAGCAGAAAACAAGGCAAAGCCATCTACTAAGAATATAATTATAATTATAGGCCAAAGGCTGGTCACAGAAGAATTAGGGAGCATCTCCCATCCCAGTTCCCAAGAGTGTGAGGCTATGTCTAGGAAGTCTGGGCCTCATTTTCCTTAAGACACAGTTAGCAAGCCCTTCTTTTAAAAAATTTAAGCAGGTGTTACTCTGGAGGTGATTCACTGGACCAGCTGTTTCTAAGCACCTGGGGAAGGAGGTAGGGGAGGAGGGATTTTTACAAAGGCAGATTCCTGAGATCCTTCTCCAGGTAGAGTCTCTATGAAAATGTACCTCTCAGATGTGCACTGTGGGAGCATAATTTTCCTGTTAGCAACCATCCTGTTCATGAGGTCACACTTCCCACATCTATTTCTAGCCAGTGCCTGAGCATGGCAGGGATACCAGGATGGATAACAGAGCAGGCCCACTCCTGCAAGATGGAGGACTCCTCTGTCGGGTGACTTTGGCTGGGGCGCTCCCCACCAGCATTACCCAATGTTCTTAGAACTACACGTTAGTCTAAGACTTTTCCAATCTAACCTCCCTTGGTTCCCTTTCTTATTCAGGAGTCAGACCTGCCTCTTTTTATCTGAGAAATTGAATTTGAACTTAAAATCCCTCCTACAAAGAAAACTCCATCCCACATGGCTGCACTGGTGCATATACCTCATATTTAAGGAAGAAATCATATCAATTACACAAAAGCTCTTCTGAGAAATTGAGGGAGAGAGAACACTTCCCAGCTCCTTCTATATGGAGAGCGTTCTTACTCTGATTCCCAAGCCTAACAAATACTTATAAGAAAAGGAAACTGCAGACCAGCATCTCTAATCAACATAGATACAAAAATTCTTTTAAAAATCTAAGGCAAAGATTAAAAAAATTCTAAAACAAATTTGTAGCCAACCGAATCCAATGATATACAAAACAGATAATACATCATGACAAGTGCAATAAAGTAAGAAAAAATACATAAAGTGCATACATATTGGAAAGGAAGCAATAAAATTGTCTCCATTCTTAGACAACATGATTGTCTACAGAGAAAAGTCAAAAGAATCCCCCAGAAGTTCCTAGACCTAATACATGAATTTAATAAGTTCTCAGGATACAAGAGCAATATAAAAAAATCAATTGTATTTCTACAAACTAGTAAGAAACAAC